AATAAATGTTTCTCTATATTCAATATTTAAGACATCCATAAATAAATTTATGAGTTGAGGATGGTCTTAGGTTTATATAAAACTTCTTCTCTATGATAAATTTGTGCTCTCAAATAGATATCAAATATACAATTGTATGGATAGTAAACAAATATACGAAACACAACCCATTTTATCTAATAATTTTTTTAAAATACTAAACTATAGTAATAGTTCTATTTTCATATGATCGAGCAGTGAAACCTAATATATATTTTGGTTATGGTAGTCGCGTATATATCACGCCCTTTGCTGTTGGAGAAGAAGAAGAAGAGTGGAGTTTTATTATTGTAGTCGAGTCCAAAACAACACAAAACGACATAAAAAACTCAACGAGAACAAAAAATTTGAATTCAAGTCGCGATACCAAAAACGAAATATTTTATAAATATCTTGTTTATGTAAGAGTTTAGGTTAGACAAGTGACTGCATTTACATACATACAATATATATATATCATCTATATATACACAAACATTTATATCATTTCTTCTTCTTTAATGTTTATATTTTAGTCTCACCTTCTCCTTCTAACTTTTTATCATTTCCCTTTCTCTTCCCATTTTCTGTCTTCCATATTATAACTCTTCTTCTCCAATCCTCTCTCATATCTTTCTTTTTTTTTCCTTAGTTTAAAAGAATTTCAACAAAATAAAAAATTAAAAAACATATACAAAATCTACAGAGAAGAAGAGAAGCTTTATTTTAATCTTGTTTTGTGGATTTGTGTGTGTGTGTGTGTGTTGTTTTATATAATTTTTATTTTCTAAATTAAAATCTCTCTATCTTTGCTTTTGATGTGGGCATGGCTGGTCTTGATCTAGGCACAGCTTTTCGTTACGTTAACCACCAGCTCCATCGTCCTGATCTCCACCTTCACCACAATTCCTCCTCCGATGACGTCACTCCCGGAGCCGGACTCGGTCATTTCACCCTCGACGACGAAGACAACAACAACAACCATCAAGGTCTTGACTTAGCCTCTGGTGGAGGATCAGGAAGCTCTGGAGGAGGAGGAGGAGGTGGTCACGGCGGAGGAGGAGACGTCGTTGGTCGTCGTCCACGTGGCAGACCACCGGGGTCGAAGAACAAACCCAAACCTCCGGTGATAATCACGCGCGAGAGCGCAAACACTCTTAGAGCTCACATTCTTGAAGTAACAAACGGCTGCGACGTTTTCGACTGCGTTGCCAATTACGCTCGTCGGAGGCAGCGAGGGATCTGCGTTCTGAGCGGTAGCGGAACCGTGACGAACGTCAGCATACGTCAGCCATCCGCGGCTGGAGCGGTCGTGACGCTGCAAGGAACGTTCGAGATTCTTTCTCTCTCCGGATCGTTTCTTCCTCCTCCTGCTCCTCCCGGAGCTACGAGTTTGACAATATTCTTGGCCGGAGGGCAAGGTCAGGTGGTCGGAGGAAGCGTTGTGGGTGAGCTTACGGCTGCTGGACCGGTGATTGTAATCGCAGCTTCGTTTACTAATGTTGCTTATGAGAGACTTCCTTTAGAAGAAGATGAGCAGCAGCAACAACAGCTTGGAGGAGGATCTAACGGCGGAGGTAACTTGTTTCCTGAGGTTGCTGCCGGAGGAGGAGGAGGAGGGCTTCCGTTCTTTAATTTACCGATGAATATGCAACCGAATGTGCAACTTCCGGTGGAAGGTTGGCCGGGGAATTCAGGTGGAAGAGGTCCTTTCTGATGTGTATATATTGAATAACCATTATATATATACCGGCGGAGGAGCTTTTCCGGCGAAGAATTTGCGAGAGTGAAGAAAGGTTAGAAAGCTTTTAATGGACTAATGAATTTCAAATTATCATCGTGATTTCGGACATTGTCTTGTTCATCCTGTTAAGCTTAGGTTTTGTTTTTTTGTGTTTTGTAGAATTTTATGTTTTAATCCTTTTTATTTTCTGTGAAACTCTATTTGTGTTCGTTTGCGATGAAAAAAAAAAAAAAAGATCCTCAAATCTTTCTTCATATCTAGCCACTTCGTGTGTCATAAATTTCATTATATCGACCATGATAAGAGCTAGGCGATAATAATTTGATTAGAGATTATATCCCTCATGAATCAAAATTTCAATAATATTATTGTCCTACATATATAGGTGTGTTGATAACTTGATATGTATATACATTAAAATGGGTTTAATCCAGGTCTTTTGTGTTCTGGTGCAATGATTAAGTGCAAAACATATTTTTTTTGTGTGGATTTGGTGATAGAATTTATGACTTAAATATATATTTTCTATTTTTTTTTTATCACAATGCGATCCACTATTAGAACAAAAAAATATTGCTTAACTGATGTTCTTCTCTGACCAAAAATATTTTTGGATGTTCTTCTTATCTGCTGCTATATATGAATTATATATACAGAGACATAGATATACATGTATTGTATCTGCGTGCCATGCTATATATATGCATATTATGTGTGTCTATGGTTTGGTGTCAACTCAACATTGGTTTTCAATTTCTTGAAGCCCTAACTTATCTATATGACCAATTATGTTTTGGTTTGGTCTCGACGAATTAAACAGTGAAACCTAGTCATTTGTCATTGAATCTTTTGTCCTCGGATTTTATTTTTATCCATGCATGTTTTAGGTTTCATTATACTTATATCTGCTATGTGTCGTCTTTAATAAACTTGTTATCTCAATATGTCTTTGGGTATAGAGAAAAACACACTTTAAGGTAAATATTTGGATCCCTTAAGATGTGGATTTGTATATTCTAGTTCTTGGATGCAGTATGAAAAAGTTACTATTGTATGGTTTATATATTTTCATCTTTCTTCGTTTCTTTTTATATTATCATTAGTGTGTTTCCAACTAGTGTGGATGAAGTTAAGTAAGTTGATTTTGTACGGGTGATGATTGTGTTTTTTTTATTTTCTTCTAGTTAAGTTAAAATCTTCATATCAGATTGCAATGCTTATAATAGTTTAACTAAATTGTTAATGATTTTATGGGAATCTCGTATTGGAAGCAGACTTATTAAGTTATTAAACTGGTGTGGTGTGGTGCTTATCTGTAAGAGAATTTTCTTTTGATTAATCAATTGAGCTTTTTTATTTAGAAATTATATTCTCTGAAAAAAGTTCCTTAGTTATGCTATCTTCCTATTTTTATATTCCTGTTTTAAAATATTAATTTACAAGCATTAGCATAGTTTATCGAACATGTAATGCGTGAGAATATACTTGTTATATAAGTTTCAAACCCATTGTTGATCATATTATATTATAGAGACTAGATTTATATTCAACTGTTTTTTTTATAACACATTCAACTGTTTTTTTTAGTTAAACTTAATTGCCATAATGTTAATAGAAGGTTTTATATGTTTTGTATCTATATATGTTACACAAGTTACATCTATATTGGAAATTAATTGTATGAATATAAATAAATAAATATATTATTAATATTTGTATGTAAATAATAGAAATATAGAATATATTTATAAGTATAATTGTATAATATATATGTTTTTAACACATGTGTAGTAATAACTCTTTAAACGTGAATCACATTTATTTTTAAACATGAAAGTACTTGGACGCAACACATTTTCCTCTAAGCGATTGATTTAATTACTACATTTAATTTTGTTATATAGTTTGAACTGACTAAGAATAAAATGAATCTAAATTCTGGTTATAGATATATTTTACTGACTTATTAGTTTGAAACATTTGGCATATAAATGGGATTAGAGATTGAATACACCACAAACACAAAGGAAACATCTAAGAAAGTAGTAAATATAATAAAAAAAATTATAAGGTTTTGATATTGCTATTGATTTCTTTATTTAAAAAGTCATTTGACTCATAATTTGTTTGAAAACTTGAGGCCTAAAATACATTTATACTGGTCAAACCAAAAAAATTATTTGACTAATGATCTAATTTATCTTATTAGACATACAATAGTTATACATTTAATAAAATATATCGTTACAACTGAAAGAATGATGAGTTAATTTGATGATAATACTAATTGCTACTTTGAGAATATTAGCTTGAAGCTGTCATCGTCGAGTCTGAACTAGCAATGAATGTTGAACGGATACAAACATTATTATGTCTTCGTTAATTATTCTTTCAAATGCGTCTTCAGTTTCTGTCAAATGAATAAGTTTAGCTGGAAAGAGAATGAACTAGTTGTAAAACTTTGGAAACAAAGCTATTATATTATTAGATATGCATATGCTTAGCTTTTCATCGGTCACTAATTATAAACAACGAAGCAACGGAAGCATGAGATTGGCCAAAAATATTAAACATCAATAATTTACATTTTCACCTCACTCGAGAATAGTAGCCTTAGATGCTTCAATATAGTGATCTATCCATCTCAAATCAATATTGTGAAGTGTAATCCTTCACTATATTAATCGGGTGAGCAAAAGACAAGTCACAAGGCATAAACCGATATTGGGCCATCATCAAAAAAAAAATTCGAAAATCGATAAACTATATATACATGTGTTATATTTGGTTTATATATACACAAAGCCAACAATACATGTACATAAGTTAAAGTAACACATGCACAAATAATACATTGACTAATAATCCTTGAAATCTGTCAAAAACAGAGTCATATATAGTGATTATAATCTCAAAACTCTCGTCTTCTAAACACATTATTGATGCAAATTATACATATTTAATATTTTGAGGATAAAAATTATGACATCAATCTTTATGGTTCTGATTGGTTGTAACAGTATGGTTTGATATCTACCATTTTGAATAATACCATATCAGTTTTTTTTCTACTGATTCTTTTACCTTTTTTCTTTTACTGCTTTTAACTATTTTATTATTGGTTACCATTTCTTTCACCCGCTAAAAAAAATACATGTACCGCTAGATTGATTTGTTCGTTGAGTCATTCCATCATTACACTCGGTTCCAGACCTAAGCAAAAATAAAAAAATTCAGGTTCGGAAATCTATTACGGATCAATTTTGATATAACTAGGCCCATAAACTAATACCAAGGCCCATGAAACCCGTTTAAGATTTGAGTTAAAACATGAAGAGAACAGGTGGGTTTTGAAATTGATCCTAACAAAGTAACATATATACAGAGAGAGAGGCTTATGAATGCTCTCATTTTCATCATCATCGTAAGCATGAGAAAGTGAGAAGGCGTTGTCTTATGTCTCCAGTGATCTTCTTTTACGCTTTTTTCTTGCTAATTAAGGTAGGAGTCACAGAGAGTACACCGATGAGACACAGAGTCGCCATGGAGCTGAAGTCATAGAGATCTCCTAATGATTTTAGCTCTCCAAGAGCAAGCCCGGCCTGTGACATAAAATGAAACACATTATGATTGGAATAAGTCCATACTCACTGAAACTGTAAGATAAAACCCCAGGAAGATGCCTGAAAAATTCTCATACCCGGACAGTGACATATGCAGCAGGAATCAGACCGATGAATGTAGCAAGGAAGAAGATATGGTAAGGAACATCAACAATGGGAGAAGCAACATTAATGAAAGTGTTAGGCAATGTTGGTGTTAGTCTTAAGAACAACATGTAATTCAGCAACCGATCTTTTCTTCTCGCAACCTAAATAAACAAAACCAGGCAAGAACTCTTCAGCATTTCCTCGAAAACTTGAAAATCGAAACAAGGCAAAAAGATTGATATGGTATAGTTTTCCAAACCTGATCTTGGAAGAATACAAGCTTGTCAGGCCAAAGGGAGAAGAGTAAAGGTCTACCGATGAGCTTAGAGAGGAAATAGCAAGAGGAAGCACCAGCTGTTGCAGTAGAGACCACAAGAGCCATTCCTTTGGCAACTCCAAAGAGAGCACCAGCAAGCAAAGACATGAACACAGTTCCAGGAATCATGAACGTCTGCATAAAAACGTAGACCAGACAATATCCAACAAGAACTTGAACTGTGTAATCACTTGTGTAAATCTCCAAATTATCTCTGCAAATCGAAACAACACTAATTTTAGTAATTCATTCAATGCCAAAACTCAAAATGTAAAAAAAAAAAAAGATCAAATCTTTCCTTAATCAATCTAGACAAGTTTCTTCAGATTATTCAATAGACATTACCCAAAATTAGCAATCAAACCTTAAACAAGGATAGCTCAGCTTCAAAACATATAGATTCCAGAATCCTAAAAATTCAAATCTGAACAAAAGCTTGCATTTTTCTGAAAACCCAGAAATAATCAATTCTAAAAACAATAAAACTTCACCTAAGAATCTGAAGCTCTTCAAGATTACGAGGAAGCTTGAGGAAACTGTAATCAGATTGAGGCATTGTAAGATAAACACAAACAAGGCCCATCAGAAACCCTAAAACGACGCCGGAAGCTGCCGTGACCTCCCAAAAGCTCAGAAGATATGTCGGAGACGCTGATTTCGCCGCCGGAGCAACGCCGATGGTTGATGTTGTTTCTCCTTCTTCTCTCTCCATCTCTGCTCTATCCTGCACCGACCGAGAGAGAGAGAGCTGAGAGAGATAGAAGAAAGGAGGATATATAGAGAGAGAAGTTAACACGAATCCCTTTGTCTCCTCGAAATCTGAATGATGGAGAAAGATTGAATTGAAGAAGGGAGACGAAGACGAAGGAAGGAAAGTAAAAATATATAAAAGGAATATTCGAATTTTGATTTTGAAGGGATTTGTTATTTTGGATTTGTAAATATCTATCTTTTAAATTATTAATTAAGTAGATAACAAAACTAATTTGTAACCTTCAAAAACTATTTGTGGCCCTTAATTTTTTTCGTGGTTTATAATTTTAACCCCAATGATATTTAGACTTGCTTGTGTAGTTAATAATTAGGAGGTTTTATTTGATTATTTTCTAGCATTTAAATTTGATATAGATATAAATATATTTAACAACTAAATTATTTACCAAAAAAAAAACAAATAAATTTGATATATTTTGTTAAGTCTTACAATAATTTTTGGGAAATAAAAAGGAATCTGTTGCTTGGACTATGAAATAAGGATGGATCATATAGATAAACACAAATGCTTAGTTTAGATAACGTAGAGATTAGAGAATAGAAAATAATATTGGAATTGGAGATTGAGACGTCTCGTTAAGCAATGAAACTCTTCTTTTGTTCTTTTTTTCTTTGTTTTTTTTGTTCAAAGCAATAAAACTCTTTTTCTGTAATTGTTTTAGTATTTGACTTAAAAATCAATATATATGTTTCAAATATTTGCTATTCAAAACTAAAGGCGACATTTACAATATATATATATATAAATAATGTATCTAATGTTAGTCTCACTTTTTAACTATGATATTCATAATTGCATGTTACCCTCAAATAGCTTCATAGACGCATGATGAATGTAATTTTGTCCTTATTATTGGAATTTCTTTTAATGATTGATATGCACAAGTATTAAAATAAATAAAATATGATACTACAAGTTAATTATAACCAAAGTTACATGAATCGTGCAAGCTATGGATAAATTAAATATTACATTTGGTAGTATTACTTTATTTTTATTTTGGTAATTCATAAGTAGCTTTTTAAAGGATTATTAATTTATTGAGTTGAAAAGTATGGACAAAATATTCGTTTCTTATATTATGATTTATGAATTCTTTTACACATACAGTTTAATCAACATTGTATACTTAATAGTTAATACCAAACAGACAACATATAATTTCAAAAGTATACTTATGGTGTGTATTAACAATAAATCTACAATCAATTCTCGATTTGATAATTGATAATGTGGTGCTTCCCACCGAATATGGCAGATAACACGTTTAAACGATACGTTGACATGTGAGCTTATAATTGCCTCTGTTTCTTCACGACAAAAATTTACATAGATATATGAAAAGAATACTAGTATATATAGTAAGTATATACTTAACACTTAATAAACTGTGTAGAAGTAAAAGATTACAATAAATCTTGGGCTAAATGATATTTTTATTTCCTGCCAAAATATAACATTTAAAAGGACAAAAAAATGTCATTTTTTCTCTGAATAGGCAATTAAAAAAGTCAGTCAAGTTACCACTAATCTAAAATCATTGGTCCACTACCAATCTAAATTCGTTGTTACAATTATACTAATACGATTTCTATATATTCATTAGTATATATACTTACAAAACCTAGGCCTACCTCTGAGAATATCGTCTAACCAGTGTCGATGATTTTGGGGAAAGAAACATTATAAAAACAAAAAGAGTGTAGAAGTTTGGGAGGGGCAAGTGTATGAAAAGGCAAGACAAATGTGATGTGTTCTCTATTTCTTCTGTCACACAAGAAAAGACAACATACAACGCATCGCATGCAATGTCTTCTAAAAACCCGCTTGAAGAAAAAGAGGCTTTCACTTTGTCGAGAACCCCTAACTCACTCTAAAGCTTTGACCCTCTTGAGTCTTGAAATAACTTTGTAAACTGACATATATCGCTATCCTAATAAGTCTTGATGACTGATGAGTTGGCAAAGGTCCCGAAAGATGTATTGGATCCACCTCTTAAGGCTATTATTGCAAGATTTTAACAAAATGAATAGACATTTGAACCGTTAATGACACAACATAAATATGGTAATTTACAACTTTGACGAAAAATTAGTTCCGGATCGGAGTGATTAAACATATATGGTATTGATATAGAGCCAACCGACTATATTGTTGAGTAATAGATGCCACGATTGGAAGATCTGAAACGATTAAAATTGGTATAAAAGAAAAACAAAACTCATAGACACTTATATAAAATACCTTTTTAAGGAAAATGTACCCCTAAATGATGCCCTTAGTTATGCATACATGATTATGCAAAAACAAACAAAGAGGGGTGATGCTTAATTCTTACACGTACGTGCTCGAGATTATATTGCCGACAAACTCAACGATTGTTCAACGTACTTTTCACCGCCATAAGTTTTGAACAATATGAATACTATATCAAACCGTTAGCACATTTTTTTGGATTACCAACTCATTAACATGTAATAGTAGTTTATATAGTAATTGCTAATGAAGATATGAGTACCACAACACAATCCATGCATATATATAACAGAGAGCTTAAAGACAATAAGACATCATCCATGCATACGTAGCTATGTTATATATGGAGATAAAGTACTTATATATATATCAAGAAAAGCTTTGGTCATGCTTGACTACTCTGTACGCCACTAGTGATCGATTCTGTAACTAAAAATCGATGTTTTCTTGTGGCATACAGGGAGCCAGGCACGACTCTAAATCCTGATCTATATATAATATATGGATACAAAACCTTCAAATGTGAATGGTAATGAGCTTATATGTCGGTCTTGAATCAAATAAAAATGTGTATTAGTATTTGGGAGAAAGAATGAAACCAGAGAGAAAGTGGCGAATGTTTTTGGACAAGAATTTGTGTGGAGATATGTATAAGAGGAATGGTTCTACAAATATATAGAGGAGAAAAATACTAATAAACTTATATATTTGAGAAAAGTACTAATAAACTTACTTTGCTATTACTTAAAGAATTCAAAAGATGGAACTAAAGGTGGATTTTGAATGCAAATATATATAAATTAATAACTTTATCATAAAAGGCTTTTATAGTATTTGAATTGTACATGAAATCCTTGAAAGAAAAAAGTTTGCTTTCATTTTAGTGGGCTAAAATTATTTATCTACACCATTATTATATATAGAGGATAATGTAAGATGGAGATCAAATATGGATTCTCTTTTGTTAAAGGCAATAAAAAGACAGACACAGCGTGCAAACACTTCAGGGTTACTTTAAATTAGATTATTAGTTTTCAAGTTGGTTCTGATAATACTTTTTTCGTTTTCGATATCCCAAAGATCCATAATCTCTCTCCCATGAAGGTGATTTAAGATATTTCATATTATTATAGCTGAAGCGTTCATGGCCCATGAGTTAGTACATAACTATATTATTATAGTATACTACATAACGTTTGATGTTTTTTCCTTTGTCATCGTTTGATGTTTGTTTAGTCATAGAAAAGGTCTCAGTACTTATATACATGATTCACTATACATGAAGTTGGACGAAATTAGCAACATGAAATTGGTAACTGTTAAATATTATTATCATACAAAGGAAAAAAAGAGAGTTCATAGGCCATATAGTATCATCATCACCACATGTACCTACATTTTCACCTTAGTCGAGAATCTTGACTATAAATCAAGATGTCCTCTAAATATGGATCTTAAGTTCTGAACATCTCTTAAGTATCACGAATCAAAATTCCAACGTTTGATGTCAAATTTAGTTCCGGAACCGTTCTTGAAAGAAGAAGCCAAACAGATATATTCACGAACTACATAATTTGTTCGATATTTTTTGTTTGTTTGTTTGTCACCGTTTGATACTTTGATGTTTGGCTTAGTTCATAGAAAAGGTTTGCAATAGTGCGTATATGATAGATTCACAGTGGCACAGCTTTATCTTTTCCTTGGGTCGTGGGCTCTTTCGACTTTCCCTTTAGCTTTCTATAATTAAAGAGGCTTTTTTCTCTGACCAAAATAAGTTCTGGTTCAATTTTCGACAAAACCAGCATGGCTTTATTCTTCTTTCTTCCAACGAGATAACTGAACTGAACTGAATCACAAATGGAATATAGTGTTCTTACAACCAGTTCAGTTTCATTTATGTACAAACTGACTGAACCAAACTAGTTTTAGCCGAACCAAAACTTTTTTTGGTTGGAATTTGTTTTGTTTTTAGTTTTTGCCGAACCAAACAAAATAAAAGTACTACTGTATACACATCCGACCGTTTGGAAATGATACAACAATTGTTTTAGATACTGTAGCACTTTCTATCTTCAAACTATTTCATATACAGTATGTACGTATAGCACTAATCCATCCGATTCATATTTATAGTTTTAGTTATACAACTCCACAAAATCTTCCGAACTAATCGAAAGGCCTTAATTAACATATTTTGGTCTTGAACTCATTCCTTATACATAAATATGAAACCCTAAATTAACGATATCTGTTAAACGAAGCGTTGCATTGTGTTTTTGCGAGGAAAAAACAGATGAATAATAACAGTAGAGATTTTTTTTCGAAAACATTAAGGCCGCGGTTTACTTTGTTGAGATGATATAACTGATATAGAAAATGTAATCTTTGAAAGAATCTCAATTTTTTTCTAATCTTTTTCTACCCTAACTATTTTAAGTCTTTTTTGATGAGTCTACATTTTCTATTTCAAAATATTTTTTTATTACTACTGTACGTTTGTATGCAAAAACGCGCATTCACATTTCACATTTGGTAATCCTTTTAAGTTGTTTAACCTTTTCTATATTAAAAGGTGATTTAACAGTTTATTAGCTTAAAAATAACTTTATTGTTGTAGAATTAATATATGGATTCGTTATGTAACGACAACTTATAATGTGACAATTAATGCTTGTTTTGCTGGAAATAACCAAACATATACGTCCCCAAGAGACACGATCACGGATGTTTCGCCTTTATAAACTTTTTGCAAATGGATATTTTATGCACAATTTTTTTTTCTTTTTAACTCTTGATTGTATTCTATAGTTACGTATACACTAACCTTCGGTCGTTGATATAGTTTTACAAGTTACCTATTTTTTTTTCCAAGATTTTTCTCATCTACCAAATTATATACTTCCTCAACAAGAAACTGAGATATGAGCAGGAGAAAAAATATATAAACTCGTCCTACTTAACTTTTTGACCATATATAACATCATAATAATACTGTTATACGTTGTATTTTTTGCCCACTTAACTATGTTATTTGAGTATTTGACTTATACACAATTTGATTTATTTTGGTATTAAGTGAAAGGAATAGTCTTTTTCCCATACGGAGTTTCACACTTAGGTTTGAACTACGAAGGATAATTATATCAACCGATAAATAATATTACATATCGGTTTGTCAACCATTAATGATATGACATATGGATTTGGACCACGAAAATCTATCAAAGATCAGCATTCCAGGCCAAAATAGCGTAACTAGTAATCTAGTATCACCAAACGAGAGGAGAGTTCACGATTCTCGTCATTATCCACAAACACAATTAGGTCGTCATGGTGTCATGCATGGAACAAGTTATATAGTATTTCTAACACAGTGCGAAAGACAGTATTATACCATCTAACTCAACATGCATATGCGCTAATAACATATTTTAGAGAATTACATGCATCCAAGTCACGAGAATTAAATACATGCATCCACCATGAATGATAAGTTGATAACCCATATAAATTATAGAAATATATTTTAAATAAATATATTACTCTCAAACACCGTTTAAAAGTTCTCAATGTGTTTTTTTTCCACAACAAATCAATTAATTTATATCATCAAAATTTACATGATACACAAAACCACTCATACAACTATTGAAACAAATAAAAAAATTGAATACAATTTCTACAACGAAGTGATATTGACCCTGCTTTCTACACGAAAGCTTTACAGACAACATAATAATTATGTTAAGTCCCTTCTTCGTATACTTTTAAAAGGCTAACATCTTATAAATGAAACTCCTAAATGTTTTACACATAACTCTAATTATGTGTATTGAGAACTTTTCAAAAAGACAATTTTTATTAAAAAAATAAAAGGATATAAAACTGTTACGCCAATGAGTTTATAATAGAATATTTAGACTTTAAACAATATCTATGAGTTCTGATGCGATAAAAGGAACTCGACTTTTTTGGGTTAATGAAACATCGTGCAAATATAAAAAAGGGTTATATATATTTGAGTTGAAGAATAATTAAGTTTATGTGTTAATATGGGTTCAAAATTCTATTTTCAACACTGACCGAAGAAATGATGCCGTTAAATTATAAATTTACATTCAATGGCCATTGTAATGATACTTAAGTTATGTATTATATATGTGAAAAAAAAGTATTGTATATGTGGCGTAACAATAACATCGCATAGAATTTTAAGCCTTGTCTTATCCATACTCGTTGACAATGTCAAATTAATATAGCAATCGAATTTGCTTGCATGGAAACCTTAATCTATACGACTGTTCTTATAGTCAACGAGATAAATAGAGAGTTGGTAAGTGTTTGGTTTTAATTTGACAATGTGAAACAAAGCCGGCACACTGACCCTTAATCCACGACAGTAATTTAACGGTTAAAAGTAGTATAATTAAGTATACAATCAAGATATTCTGTGAGAGTGAAATATCATTATTAAAAATTATGGTAAACGTTTTCTCCAACGTTAGGAAACTTCGTTTCATGTTTTCTCTAATTTGTCGTGATCCTTCTCATAAACTTTGACGACAACAAAGATTCTATTATGTATGTGATTTTATTTTATTTTTCCAAAGATCCAATAGTATAATACAACGTAATATATAATACCAACTTTATGGTTACACCTTCTAAATATAATCCACTTTGTAGTTTATGTGTTCTTCACGCTATCGAGTAAATGTTTGGAACCCTCGAGAGAAGTTCTTTATTATAAATAAACTAATCAATGAAAATATACGCCATCTAATTAATGTAAATAACTTCGTAAATCTCGTAATAACCAGACAATCCAAATCTTTATGTCCAAAATATATATGTAACCTTACAATAAAGAGAGGTTTCATATACTTTTCACATGCATTTTCACGTAACAAAACTTATAAAAATTAAACAACTAAAGAATATCATAGGTATATATATATATTTTTTTTTTTGTGACTTAGAATTCATACGGTAGGCACAGGAGGGTTTGGTTACGAACATGAGAAGGAATAATAATAATCTTCGTTTGAATTCAAAGAGAGGAAGAAGAAGAGAAAGAGTAGGATTTGATCAACCATATACTGAGACATATTGAAGCAGGTAGAGATAATTCTTTGAATGCGGTGGAAGCAATCACTTAATGATAAATACAAGATTCCAATTTTGATGAACTTTGCAATGAGAACATAATTTCTGCTTTTCAATTTTAATATTACTTAGTTATATATACACCGTTGAAGAAACGTAGTTAATGAGTTTGATTTATCATCATGCATTTAAGCAAAAATTCTTATTTGCAGGGAAAATATTCAAAATTGTTACATTTTCAAATTTGAATTGTGGGGGTTTAAGTGTTTAATCTATACACAACAAGATTAGTTTGAGTTTCAGATTAACGAAATTGTACTATAGTGTGTGTATGTAATTTGTATCTACAAGTAACAGTCCGTAACAAATTCATCAAGAATTTTATTATAATATAGCTAGGGCATATATTTTATTCATCTAACACATATCACAATAACAACATCCATTAACAATTATTCATATTATTTTATATAAACATTTTCACATCACCCCCCACGAATTACTCTCTTTGAAGTTCGAACGCCATGACACATATCATATTATCGTTACCTAATCTTGATTTTGCTATAATTATTTTAGTTATTTAACTTATTCATTGAATGACTCATATTGTATACTTATGATACACTAAGAAAAAAAAAATATTTACATAATTTTCTGACGAATGCATACACAACTTTACTTTAGTTATGTCATGGCTTCTTTGCGCATATCTATATATACATACAACCTCAATCGTAGGAGCAAAGAAACAAAGAAAGATCACATCTTCAAACTAAGACCTTTGATATATAAGAAGTTAGGGTTCTTGAGAAAATAAACAAAAATGGGAAGATCACCGTGTTGCGACCAAGACAAAGGTGTGAAGAAAGGACCATGGATGCAAGAAGAAGATGATAAGCTTACTGCTTATATAAACGAGAACGGTTATGGGAATTGGCGGTCGCTTCCTAAGCTCGCTGGCCTTAACCGCTGCGGCAAGAGCTGTCGGCTCCGGTGGATGAATTATCTCCGGCCTGATATCCGGCGGGGCAAGTTCTCCGATGAAGAAGAGAGTACTATCATTAGACTCCATGCCCTTCTTGGCAACAAGTAAGACTTTTTATTTTCTATCAAAAATTTTATGCTACTGTTTAAGATTCTCGAACCAAACACAAACGTAAATTTTTGATTGGTTCATTTTATTAACGTTTTGAAACGAAACTTTCTTACACAGATGGTCTAAAATAGCGGGTCATCTACCAGGAAGAACCGACAATGAGATAAAGAACTATTGGAACACTCATATGAGGAAGAAGTTGTTGCAAATGGGGATTGATCCAATGACACACGAGCCAAGAACCAACGAGCTTAGCCCTATCCTCGATGTTTCTCAAATGCTCGTGGCAGCAATCAACAATGGCCAATTTGGTAACAATAACCTCTTCAACAATAGCACTACTGCTTTGGAGGATCTTCTCAAACTCCAGCTGATCCACAAAATGCTTCAAATCATATCCCCTAAAGCCGTACCAAACATCAATAGCTTCAACACGGCCACTTCAGTGAATCCTAAACCGGATACCACGGTTCCACACGTTTTCATAAACCAAAGTGGAATCACTCCTGAGGCGGCCACCTCTGATCTCATTTCATCTTATGATAATGTTTGGGATGGTATTGAAGATAACCAGCTTCCTGGTTTGGTTACGGTTTCTCAAGACGGTTTGAATGCATCAAAACCGGGTACCAGTACTACCACCGAGGGAAATGATCAAACCGGAGCCGGTTACTATCCTGATCAATTACATAAAATCCCATCTTCTGGTTTGGTATCGGTTTCTCCTGTAACATCAGGTTTGAACCATCCTGGTACAGCTCAACACTCATCGGCTGGTTCAGATGTCCTAGAGGACTGGGGGAAGTTCCTTGATGATGAAACAAGTGATTCTTGCTGGAAAAGTTTCTTAGAGTAAGTTTTTTTTTTCCACATTAATCTATATAATATGATATTTATATATGGTAATACATATATACTTTCTCAAATTAAAATGTTTACTAACAGAGTTTAACTATTAAATTCTGCAGCTTAACGTCACCCACATCGTCACCCCTCCCATGGTAAAAGCTGGATTTTGTGCGGGTCGTATTATATAAACTCCATAGTTTTAAGGTCAATGATATTCGATTAATATTATTAAATTTTTTGTTCTTAAATACTGAAAATTAAAGTTTGTTTTTTCCTTCTCTTATAAAGGAATGTTTGTATTTTTTTTATCAAAAAAAAAAAGTTTGTATTTTGTTCTTATTTGGTTTGGTTGTTGTGTAAAGAAACACATTGTAATCACCAAACTTCCTATATATGTACGTAGTATTCCCTAATAATAACAATAGTATATATTTTAGATGATACAGTATATACGAATAATACGATAAGTCTCATTATACAATCAAACAACTCTCTAGTTTAATTGAGGGAACATCGGCAGATACAAAAGCCTAACTTGATGCACAAGTTTAATGAAACCTAGACCTAATCTCTAAAAGAAGACTAACAAAGAAAAATAAGGCAGGAATCACAAAAATGGAGGAAGAAGAGAAAAACCCTAGTTCGATCTACATAATTTCCGACCTACTAGAAGAAATATTCCTTCGACTTCCCTTGCAATCGATTCTCATATCCAAAAGCGTGTCAAAACGATGGAGATCACTTCTTGAATCGAAGACGTTCGTGGAGAGACGAATGCGTCTTCAAAAGAACCGTAAACTCCTGGCTGCTTACAACTGCGACTGCGGCCGGGAGCCTAGGCTACTCCAGGGGACACGGTCCAAAGGTGGTGAAAAGATGGTATATCTGCATTGCAATACGGCAAGACCCTCGTTGACTTGCGACGGTTTGGTCTGTATCCTAGAACCACATTGGATTGACGTTTTGAACCCTTGGACGAGACAACTCAGGCGATACGCATTCGGATTTGGAACCATGATTGGAGTATGGACTGCTTTCTCTCCGATAAATTGGGCAATGGGATTTGGTAAGGACAAAGTTACGGGCAACTATAAAGTAGTGAAGATGTGTTTATTACCTTCCAGTGAAGTTAGGGTCCGTGATCCTGAGATGGAGTATAGTGTTCTTGATGTTGAAACTGGTGAATGGCGGATGTTGAGTCCACCTCCTTGTAAGGTCTCTGCGGTAAAAGGATCTGTGTGTGTGAATGGATTGATTTACTGGTTACACTACACTAATGAGAGGATTCACCAAGTACTAGCCTTGGATCTTCACAAAGAAGAGTTCCATAATGTCTCAGTTCCGGCTATGAGTGTCATGCAAGAAACCAATATAGTGAACCTTGATGGCCGTCTGGCCATAGCCAATACCTATACCACAGCTGAATGGAAACTAGAGATTATGAGCATGGATACAGAAGTAAAAAGATGGACCAAGACTTACTCCATACCTTTAGAGAACAGAGTTGTTTCCCAGGAAAGGCAGAACAGGTGGTTCACCCCGGTCTCAGTTTCTAAGCAAGGAAATCTTGTCTTCTATGATAATCATAGCAGACTTTTCAAATATTATCCAAGGAAAAATGCGATTATGTGTATCTCCTTAGCCACTTGTGTTATATCTCCTTTCTTTGAAAATCTGGCACCACTTCCTTTGACATCAATCCTTCCCTATCCTCATCTGCGCAGGAGATCGAGATGCCCCCTGTTTTCAAGATCGAATGCATTCAGGGTCCTAGATATTATCTTAACCACTCTAGTAACAGTAGTAGGTTTTCTTTGGTTGTCTCGCAAAGAGTCCTAATTATCTAGTGTCTAACTATAATCTTTTCTCTCTCAAATAAGATTTGAAATGGTATTAAGTGGTTTCTTATCTTATGCCTGCTCTGTGAGGCAGTGACACAAAGAGTTGCTTACCTTAATCCATTATATTTGAAAAACCATTCACAAATCACAACAGCAAACCATTAAAAAAATTCTTTCACAAATCCTTAAAACAGATCTTTCGTTGGAACAGGGGCGATTGAACCGGTTTGATCAGAGGTAGTTGCCTTAGTGGAGGCTAGACCTTCAAGCATTCTGATTATCTCCGCCGTATCGTCTAAATAGTATTTTGCTTTGCTTGGCTTTTGTCCAACGGTGCAAGCAAAGATCTCAGCCACAGGAGACAAAGCCGGGCCATCTTTTGCACTCATTATCACCTCGAACATATCTTCATCGGACCTATCATCGCCAACGCAGAGAATGAAATCCAAAAGTTTCCCTTTTTCTTGCATCGTTGTTAGAAGTCTCTCGGCCACAAGACCTTTGTTCACACCCTGATATCAGAACAACAAAAAAGGTTAGCTATCAGAACTTGGAAGATAATGCGCATAGACAACTTTTTACCTATCAGAGTCAAAATAATATTGGTTTTGGTAGAATTTAAATGCCTAAGGAAGTGATTGAAACTTGCGAGAGACTATTTTAACGTCTAACCTGTGGTTTAACTTCAACGAGTTGTTGTCCAGTCTTGACAGAGACTGGATCATTGGTAAGCACGCTTTCGAGGTGTTCCATAAGCTCTTTGGCTTGACAAGATCCAAAATCAGGATCTGCAAACTGATAATTCCAAACGAGAGCAGTCTCTTTAGTCTCTATTGTTGATCCATCTGTAGTCTCTGTGTACAGTCTCATCACTGGCTCTGCTATTTGTTTCCATTCAAAACCTGATACCAAGCTCGACGTTTCCCAGTCTGTTCCATCATTTGGCCTGTCCCCATTATGAAAAGAAAGATCAGAACCTTATATCCAAAACATCCATCTTTTCAATAATGAGACTGAAAAAGATATGAAAGCAGTCCCATGTGCAATAACCATAACTTTATAATACAAAAGATCGATTTATTTTAGTGCTCTTAGCAGTCAAGAAGATAAGAAAGCAACTCCGATATGTAAGATAGATCTTTTAAGGTAATCTTAATGAAATTCAAGAACCTTCATATGAAAAATCGAAGCTTTATATCCAAAAGATTAATCTTTTCAAGTGATCTTGATAAAATTCGAGAAGATAAAAGATTGCTCTTTTCAAGTGATAATGAAATTTAAGAAGATAAAGGAAAATATAAACTTTACTTTATACCAAAACTTCAATCTTTTTGAAAGCTCTTAGTGATTTAAGGAACATGTGAAACGAAATGTTACCTTATAAAGAATCCGTGCTCTGCACCCAAACCAAGATCATCACACGAAGAAAACCATTCAGTAAGCGTCTTTCTGTCTTTCCCGCTGACGAGGTACACGATATTCTTGGGATCACTAGACAGATTGTTCAAGATTTCGATTGTTTCGCGGCTTGGTGTTGTCCTAATGGACCCAGGCTGCACCATTGTGCCATCATAATCCAACAAAATGGCTCGGTTCTTGGTTCTCTTATAAGCTGAGACAATGTGCTCAATCGAGAGCTTTTTAAAACTCGGATCAAGCGCCACAACTCGAAAGCCTAACCCGAAACCTATCCCCCAACACCTCTTCCTCACATGATCACCGCAAGCCCTTTCAAGATCCTGTATAAAGCTGCGCGCCCAATATGCAACATCATGAGTGCTCACATATTTGTGGTGCTTCTCATGACGCATCTGCTTCTCTGCTTCTGAAACTATCAATGCATAGTCCATTGCTTCAGTCACAGCATCAATGTTCCATGGATTCACTCTAATAGCGCCGCTTAAAGAAGGAGAACATCCAATAAACTCAGAGACAACGAGCATACTCTTCTTTGACGCAGAAGGTTCAAGGCCTATAATCTCATTAAGTTTCGGATTTCCTTGTCTGCAGATAATGTACTCATAAGGTATAAGATTCATACCATCTCTTACCGCTGTAACAAGACAACACTCTGCAATCACATAGTAAGCAATCCTCTCAAAGAACTGAAGCGGTGTATCAATCAGAACCACAGGTTGGTAACCCGGCCGTCCAAACATTTCATTAATCCTTTTAACCGTGGCTTCAGTTTCAGACTGAACCTCCTGAACGTCTTTCCCACGACCTCTTGCAGGGTTTGCAATCTGGACAAGCACCACTTGACCTCGCTTCTCAGGATGCTGTGTGAGAAGTTGTTCCATTGCCAAGAGTTTGAGACTGATTCCTTTGAATATGTCCATGTCATCGACACCGAGAAGAACTTTTTGATCCAAGAACTGATCTCTTAGCTCAGCAACTTTGGTTTGAGTCTCTGGGAGATTTAAAATTGACTGAAGCTGGCTGATATGGATCCCGACAGGAAGAATCTTGATGCTTACAGTTCGACCATAGTACTCTAGCCCTATGGTTCCACGTTTGGACTGATAGGATAAACCAAGCATCCTGCTGCAGCAAGAAAGGAAGTGTCTAGCATAGTCAAAGGTATGAAACCCAATCAAATCTGCATTGAGCAGTGCGCGTAAGAGCTCGTTTCGCACTGGGAGAGTACGGTATATCTCAGAGGAAGGGAACGGGCTATGAAGGAAAAAACCAAGCTTTACTCTATTAAACCTCTTCCTCAAGAATGTAGGCAAAACCATTAAGTGATAGTCATGAACCCAAACAAAATCATCATCAGGACTAATCACTTCCATGACTTTATCCGCAAAGATCTTGTTAACCGAAAGGTAAGCTTGCCATAACGAACGATCAAATCTACCTCCAAGATCAGGCGTTAAAGGAAGCATGTAGTGAAACAAAGGCCATAGATGTTGCTTACAGAATCCATGATAGTACTTGGTGAATAGCTCAGGTGGGATATAAGCAGGAACACATTTGAAATTCTCAAGCAACCTTTGAGAAACATCATCTTGCTCAGCTGTATCGATTTGTTCTTTAAGGCAACCAATGTAGACAACTTCCATGTCTTCACGCATACCGTCTTTAAGCTGCAAGAGAAGCGAGTCATTGTCCCAACTAAAACTCAATTTACCCGCAGAGTTTCGATATGATTTAATAGGAAGCTGGTTCCCAACTATGATGATTCGATCTTGCGTGACCGAAGAAGGAGCATCAGAGCAGACACTGTTGCTGTTATTATCATCATCTAGCTCAGATAAAACACCTGTGACAGTTGCTACTCTTGGAAACCTCTTCTTTTCTCGGGAAAACGAATGGAAATTACCAGAAGCAAGATCCAAGAGGTTGGAATAAGATCTTGATACCATGTTTCTAGGCTTTAAATCAAATCACTACAACAAGTAAATGAAGTGCAATGTCTGCAACACAAAGAACACATTCAAGATCAGAACTTTGATCAATCATTTATTCATTTGATTCACACAAGACCAAATCTTTAATAAAAAAACCATTAATTTCAAACTTCCAAAGGAACCCAAAAAAATCTCAGGTAAAGGTTTCATTTTTTTAAAGCCTCAAGCTAAGAACAGAACCAGTAGATCTCATACTCTAGACTCCAAATTTTTAAGAAGACTCTTTGACATAGTGGAGTCTCCAAATCTAGAATAAAAAAAAACAAATTTATCAAAACCTTGAACAGCTTATATTAACAAAAACCCATGCCGGAACAAGAAAAATAAGGGGAAAAATACCACAGAAAATAATCATAATGGGCGATAAATGTAGTCAGAAATCATGTTTTATAGTCAGAAAATTTTAAAAAGGTTACACTCATACAAGCAAGATCAGAACACAGAGCTCGAGGACAAGAAAAAAAAAACAAAACTTTGGGTTACTAAAAGTTAGTCAGATTCTACAGTTACATAAGAAGAACCCCATTAGATGCAAAGAAGATGATCGAGAAAGCAAAAAAAAAAAAAGCTCACTTTTTTGGAGTAATGGAAGTGAGTGTGAGTGCGAAGACTGCGAGAGAGAGAGCCTAAAAGATTCTTTTTTTTTTCTCCGATCTTTCTCTTTGCTCTCTGCTGCTACTTCTTCACTGTTCTTTAAAAAAAAGTCTATTTTTTTTGCTCTTATTTATTTAGAAAGAAAAATGAAACCTTTTTGTTTTTGTTTTTGCGCTTTGGACTTTGGGACTTTGCTTTGCTTTGCCAATGGCTTTATTTGTTCTCAAGATTAAACAATTTTGGAAGATTCTCTTCTTCTTTCTCTCCATAAGGCAATAGTCTTTGTGGTTTTTTATGACCAATCATGTAATGCAAGTTATTGATTGTCTAAATGACAATGAGTAGACTTTATTATTTTTTAAAATATAAAATTCCAAAGGACTATTTTTGTAGAAGAAAAATACTTGCAAGTTATTTTTAATCTTCTTATGATTTATTAGAAAAAGGAAGAAGATATTTATATATTTTGTTTATCTATGTAACTGAGTTTATTTATCGTCTTCTCTTCTTTTTATTTTTTTTCCCTAAATAATGCGTATTACGCGGATTTTATTTTTTAATGGTTTGTAACGCATATGTGAGCATAATACTTGTGACTAAATATTTTAGGAAAAAGGAAGAGATATTTACAAGTGATCATAAACAAACAAAAAAAAGAGACAAAAATATATTAAAACATATGTAATCACATTCTTTTGTCTACTTATATGTCTAATTTAAGGTTGGGATGATAGATTTTTTTAGTTTGGTGTGTATGATAAGCTAAGCATCACAATAATGCAAGAAAATATACTATTGTTGATTAAGGGCTGGGTCGTTTTCTATAAATAATAATATTGATGTTTAACTTTAATAATTTGTAAGTGAAAAGACAACAAATCTCTTAGATGTCTTTGTAGATTGGGGAACACAGGTCGTATCTCCCTTTAATATGTCTTTCTCCCCTGTTCTAAATGGTTAAAGGCGATTGAGCTAAAATATTTGGAATTGTCATTATAGTGAGATGAAATATGTTACTTAAAATTTAAGCTAATATAGTAAGATTGTTTAGTTTAAATTGGCTTTAGAATTTTAGAATCACTTAAATAAATTATCTAAATCATTATGAAACTTCTAAATTTTGTATTAGTTTCGTAATTGTGTCACAACTCAAATTTCAAATTCTATCAAAAATAATATAGTGTCAAAACCTAAATGGCTTAACTTTATGTGTAGAGAGGCTCGTAACTCAATATTAATCAAGCTCAGTTTCGTTGACTATGGTTCAATTAAATCTTAACAAAAAAAAAGAAAAAATTAAATCCTAACTAGTGCAGTTCATTATAGTATATATATTTCAACTACTATAGTATTTATTCAACTATTTATAAACCTTTTTTCACGTCAAGTGGATTTTAAAAAATTAATAAATTAGCCATTCGTTGTCAAGTCGAATAGAGTTTGTTCACCCGAAGAAAGTAACATCTATAAGCTAGTAAAAGTTAAAATATTCAAACCAAATTTATATGATCAGTGAAACAATACTGTACTATGCATGCGCGTATGGTTTAACACGTTAAACTTTTCATTGATCGAAGAATACAAATACATTTATGTAATGAATAGTTAATTAATTCTTCTAGGGTAGGATTTATTGGTTGTCAAGATTCTAAAGGAATGATTTGTTTATTATTTCATATAGTTAAGAGTACGATTTTATATATTTTCTAATAATGTCCTTTCAGATTATCATCAACCCGACAAAGAATATATGATTTAGATTATCAAATTGGTGCAAATTGCCAATTGTTTAATAAAATATGCTATTGATCAGATTAGTTATATAGTTCATTCAAAAAGGAGAGATTCTTCCTCGCATGTATCAATAACTCTCTAGGTTAATTTCGAAAAGCTAGAACTACTAAGTGATTGTTTTCATGTGTATTATACTAGGTTTATACGTATATATACTCAAAATGAAATTGTTATAGACGTATATAAATACTCAAATGATGGGCAAATAATTTGATAAATTCCCACCGTCTATATGTGTGGGTGTGCGTGTGCGACATAGACATATATGTAATATTATTATAAGCATATATAAGCAACATCGATGTATGTTTGTATCAAGATTTAGGTCCACAAAAGAGTCAAGACCATCATTAATGTCAATTTAAATGGTAACACGTCCCTACCCATATTATATCGCCTACAATAAGGTGCACATACGTGACATTTGCGTATTTACATATAAATGTATGTGTGAGTTCTTGTCAATACATTAATCATGCTTCTATAATGCATTGATCTATAAACTATTTCCAATAATGGTGGTGGTGTTATATGAGATCATATCAACATTATTGGTAATTTTCTTTACGAGAAAAATGATTAAAGAAGACATATATAAAGCTAAGCTTTACTATAAAATCATCAGCCAAACTCTTCTTTAAACAAACGTAATCATTTTCTCAAGAAGATTCAAAACACTAATCATACGATTCACTTTTGTTGTCAAACATACTCATATGATTTTTCTAAAAATGTTTCTTTGAAGACTTCTTTTTAATTTGTTGCCTTGAGAGCCATTTACATTTTTTTTCTCTTTTGAGTGTGATTTAATAATCATTGAGAAAAAGTCCAAACCAACTTTGAAATAGAGAGAAAGCTACTTGGACGTCAGTATTAGAACCACGTGTCAAGCTTAGAACATTTTAAAAGTTTTGCTTACAACTATTTTATTTTTAATTAGGTCCAACCAACACCAACCCATCTCAATATTTCTCGCAAATCATAATCAGGGATCAAGTTATATTAGTGGAGAACCTTTTCTAATTACAGATTAATCATCATTATGAGTAAACAAGTTAGCTTTTTTATTTTTAAGGTAATTATAATAAAATAATAGAATCAAACATCCGGATCCGTGGCGCAATGGTAGCGCGTCTGACTCCAGATCAGAAGGTTGCGTGTTCGATTCACGTCGGGTTCAATCCCCCGAACTTTAATTCCGGATTTCTTTTTATTTTTTCAAAAATTGTTCTAACCGGCACGATATGCTAGTGGGAAACAACAAAACGGCAGGAAACAACTGAGCTCTAAATATAGTGAAACGACACGCAATCCGGCACTTTTTTTTTTCCCTTCTTAACATACTACAAACTGGTTCAGGTAGTACTATTGAGTATTGATGGACTAAGAGGTAGGGAACAAGCATTACAAACAGAAGCAAATTTACGTAGTTGAGTAAATTAATCAGTCAGTTGGTTCTTCAGGCTTCACAAAGAACTCAATATAGGCAATCCGACTCGGAGGCTGATACCCTGCAGATTCCACTTGTGGAGCTATAGCTTTAGCAACTGAAACCAAGTGCTGAACTTTCAGCATTCCTCCTCTTCCTATTGTCAGTTTGCTTCCCCTGTTTTCTCTCACTACGTTTCCTGGTATATTTGCGGTTGTTGCCTTCAAAAACTTGTATTTGTACCTTGAATCAACCAAGATCATTAGCGAATGTCTCTGGCTGCAATTCTTGATTAGTAAATCAATTCCAAGAGTGTGCAAACTAATTTTTTATAACTAAAAAACTATAAGCTTCTTTTGATCAACTAGCGTTAGAGAATGAATTTGAGTTCATTGTTACCGGTAAGAGACTTCGTTATCACAATGAAAGGCAAGGAGAAGATCTGTGTTGGCATAATACATGAAGTCTATCTGCGAAAGAGGATATATCGAACTGTGACGACTTGATTTATCACATTAAGAAAATACTTCACCAAAAACCAAGTGAGAAACAGAACCTGTAGGTCTCCATGTCCTTCTCCCCTGAAGGTAACACAAGGAGGCTCCTTTTGGAGGCTGATCTGTACACTTGATCCAGGCCATTCAAGATCATCTATAGCTTCTTTCAACGCCGCTGACTGATACATTGTCAATTACCATTTGAGAAATAAGCTCAAACTAGATTGTCTAATGAACAGCAATACTAAACAATGATGCTACCTTTACGGTAAAAGTGAGTGGCACGCTTCCTGCCTGCTCAAAGTTGTAGTCCCATGTGACGGTTTCCGGGATTCTCGTTCTTATCTCAGAGTAGATGCAAGAGTTCAGCGTATCAACAGATCTAAAAAAACCACACACATAAGCTAACATAATCAGTAATATTCACAAAACTGGCAGTAAAATTAGCATCAGATTTTTCACAAGGCATTTGAAGTAACAAAAGCAGAGGATGAATCATAGTTCATACTTGAGAAGAAGCTCCATATCAGGACCTGGATACTTAAGCTCTATAGTATTTGAATGTCCAGGTGATGAAAACGTGTTCAAGCAATCAACAAGAAGACCTAAGCTAATTCCAAATCTCGGCCTCCCTTGAGCTCCATACTCGTATTTCGTGAATAGCTTTCTCAGATTAAAACCCCAAAACATTTCAGATCCCACAACACCACTAGTGATTCGATTTTTTTAGAAAACTCAGAAATCGATACCTCGCGTTGAAGATAAACCTTGGCTTGAAGACAACCTGATTCCTCTACGATTAATACTATTCCGTGTTCCGATAACTCCACCAAAGCGTCCTGGATTCGCAATTTTAGCAGAGAGATCAGTGAAGATCGATGAATTAAAAAACCCTAAAATGGAGTTCCGAGGGATGGAGATAAAAGACCTGGTGACGTTTCCATCGGACGCAAGTGAGTGCGTCGACCATTCCTTGAACATTATCGAGCTGGCAAATAAGGTCCGGCGTGTCTGGTTCAATCGCCGGCGACGAGGACAAGCTCATCTCTCTCTCTCTCTCTCTGCTCCCTCCCTCTTCGCCTTCCCGCCAAAAAAAACTAATAATCTAATGGGCTGTAACATATAATTGTTCCAGCAGGCCCATTTATTTATAAAACCCCACCTCATAGTATACAGACACGTGTCATCTCGTTAGCACAGAAGCGAACATAAAATGATTTATTGTAAACTATGAGTCACTTTCTCCCTTTCTTCTCGCTCCCATTTTTTTTTCTCTCTCTCTATATCCGTACGAATATGGATGGTGGTGTTGTTACCGGCGGAGTAGCGAATAGCGGCGAGTCTGTGCCGCCGAGGAATCCTCATCCAGCGACGTTGCTTAGTGCCAACGATTTACCGCCTCCTTTCCTTAGTAAGACGTATGACATGGTGGAGGATCCGGCGACGGACGCGATTATATCATGGGGTTCGGATAACAATAGCTTCATTGTTTGGAATGAATCGGAGTTTTCTCGTCATCTTCTACCTAAACACTTCAAACACAACAATTTCCACAGCTTTGTTCGTCAGTTGAATACCTATGTAAGTTCCCTAATTTTTCGCAACGATCAGAGCTCTCGCCATTGATTTTGATTTCTCAGAATAAATTTCACCGCTTGATGTGTTGTGTAACAGTGTAAGAGTCAGTCATCAAAGAATGACTAAATGATTATGTTTTGGTACTGGCGAATTTGATGAACAGGGTTTTAGAAAAGTGGATCAAGGCCGGCAGGAATATGCAAATGAAGATTTCTTGAGAGGTGAGAAACATTTACTGAAGAAGATAAGCAGGAGAAAATCTGTTCAGGGTCATGGTAGTAGTTTATCTCAAGGTCAAAGTTCAATGGCTGCAGTAGAGGTTGGGAGATTTGGGATAGACGAAGAGGTTGAGCAGCTTAAAAGAGACAAAAACGTTTTGATGCAGGAACTCGTTAAGTTACGCCAGCAGCAACAGACGACAGACAGTAAACTTCAGGTTATGGTTAAACGTCTTCAGGTTATGGAGCTGAGGCAAAAACAGATCATGTCTTTCTTTGCTAAAGCTGTCCAGAACCCCACTTTCCTCTCTCACTTCATTCAGAAGCAGACTGATAATAACATACTTGTAACCGAGGCTAATAAGAAACGGAGACTCAGAGAGGATACTGCTACTGAGAATCATAGCTCGGCTGCATCAGATGGACATGGACAGATAGTTAAGTACCAGCCTCGTAGAAGCGATTCAATGATGTGGAGCAGGATGAAAAATGATGATGAGTACTCGTATCTTGATGGGTTCGCATCGCCAGACCGGGTATCAGGATGCACTCTTCAAGAGGTACTCCCCACAACTTCAGGACAGTCACATGCGTATGCACCCGCAGCATCGGGACAGCATTTATCATATTTACCCTCTACTTCAACTTCCTTACCTGATACCGTAATGCCAACGATTCACCGGATGCCACAATCACGAGATAGCATCAACGACTTCCCTACAGAAGACTACATGGATACAGAGAAAAATGTCTCGGAGCCTTTCATCTCTCCAAGCCCGTTCCTTGATGGCGGTTCAGTCCCGATTCAGGTTGACGGAATACTTGAAGACCCCGACATTGGTGAACTGTTGAGCAGCTTTGACTTCCTTGAAGAATGTCTGACAGAGAGCCCTGTTCTGGGAGATGCAACTACACTAGAGAACAGCAACAACACAAATGGTAGATATATGGATAAGTTTATAGAATAGTTGGGTCTTCTAACATCAGAGATAGAACAATTGTAAAGGATTATGTTTAGTATCGAATGCTTTCTCTACTAACTTTATGGTTAGAACTTAGAACAAATTTTAAATCTCTTTGTATAAAAATATCAACTTTGTGCAGAAATCTTTCCTTGGATAATACAAGAATTAAATTTATTTATTATTGAGAAGAATAAGCGATATATATATATTTATTTATTTATTGTAGTATAGAAAGTGACAACTTCTCGAATCATATATTTTCGATAAGAAAAACAGAGTCGGAATTTCCCGGGGAAGCTCTATTCAATGGAGGTCCTTGCAAGCTCTTCATTATCCCCAATTTTTACTAAGCCTAACAAAATAAACCCTAATTTCTCAATCCAGGTACTTTTCTTGCACAAAGTTTGAATCTTTTTTTAGTTTCTCTCATGAAATTCCCCTGGAAACCCCCAATTTGTGTCCGTTTAGCTGTAATAGATTTTTTTCAAGCTTTTGCAGGTGAAACTGTGGGTAACTCAACCTCCAAAGATTGTGAAAGCTAGCAACTTTAGTTATGCGCGAAATCGAAGTAACAAACCAAGGAGCAATGCTAGAAACCCGGGACTCGTGCTCGTCTGTAATAGATTTCTATGTGTTACCGAAAGAAATGATCATAGGAAATTATCTGGGAAGGTTATGATGAAATCTTCAGTCAATTTCAGACAAAATCTGTCTGCTGCATTAGTTCGGCTAGTCTCTGTGCTGCTCGTCTCTTCCATTTCTGTTGTTACCACTGATTCACCAGCATGTAAGCTATAATTCTACATATTGAGAAACCATGTCAACACTGGGGAATGCAATTTGATTTCATTTGTCTGGCTTTTCTTTTCTCTATCTCTTTAGGGGGTCTTACTGAAGAGAATCTTCTTTTCCTGGAGGCTTGGAGAACAATTGATCGCGCATATATCGATAAAACCTTCAATGGCCAAAGCTGGTTTCGTTACAGAGAGACTGCTTTACGAAATGAGCCTATGAACACTCGAGAAGAGACATGTATGTGTGAATTTTGACACAGCTTTACTAATCTTTTTTATAATATTGGTACAACTTGCTTCTGAATTTGGTGTTTGTTTGTGTTTAGACATGGCTATCAAGAAAATGCTTGCAACACTAGATGATCCTTTTACTCGATTCTTGGAGCCCGGAAAGTTTAAGAGTTTGCGGGTAAGAGTTCCTGAAATTAGGCTGTTCTGAATGTAGCAAATAGATTGTATGTAAGATTTAGTAATTAAATGGTTTGGTTGAAGGCAGTCAGGGACTCAAGGGGCGGTTACAGGTGTTGGGCTGTCGATAGGTTACCCTGCTGCATCAGATGGATCACCGGCTGGACTTGTTGTTATATCAGCTTCTCCAGGAGGTCCTGCTAACAGAATGGGAATTTCACCTGGCGATATTATTCTTGGAATTGATAATACAACCACAGAAACGCTGACCATATACGATGCCGCACAGATGTTGCAGTGAGTTACATTTCCAGTTTTCGTCCTTCCTTTGCTTTGAAAAACCTGAGTGTAGCGAGATAATGATTCTGAAGTAAGAAATGAGGAAAGTTTTACATCGAGCTAATGCTTTTTGGTTGAAATGCAGGGGAGCTGAAGGAAGCACAGTGGAACTAGCGATCCGCAGTGGACCTGAAACAAGACTCTTAACTTTGACGTATTATTCTCATTCCTCCACCATTGTCTACATTTATCTCCAGTTCTAACATTCATTGAGTAACTACAGTTGTTGTTATTTCAGGCGAGAGCGGGTTTCTGTGAATCCGGTTAAGTCAAGATTATGTGAACTTCCTGGCTCTGGGAGTAATTCCCCTAAGATTGGGTATATCAAGCTAACAACGTTCAATCAAAATGCATCCAGTATGTGTATACTTTGGCATTACTGATTCCTTCTTACAAATTTTTCTACTCTCTGGTTTTTTGTCTCTCAAAGTTACACTTATTTTGTAGGTGCGGTAAGGAAAGCAATTGAAACCTTGAGAGGCAACAATGTAAATGCATTTGTCTTGGACCTTCGAGACAATAGGTGATGTCTATTGAAAAAATAAACACTTTTGTAATCTGCAACAGCCTTTCTTAAACAGTTGGTAATTTTTTTCTTCCTGCAGTGGAGGTTCTTTCCCAGAAGGAATTGAGATTGCTAAATTTTGGTAAAACCTCATAAACAGTTACATCCAACAAATCAGAATATGTTAAGATCCACAGCTATCATAATAGAAACTTCAACTGTTGGTATCCACAGGTTAGATAAAGGAGTGATTGTGTATATTTGTGATAGTCGAGGTGTTAGAGATATATATGATACTGATGGAAGCAATGCTATAGCAACCTCTGAGCCTCTAGCCGTTCTCGTATGAGCTTCCTCTCGTCAATTCTAGTCCTTATAGTAAATGCCATGGAATATTTAGTATTCACACCATCTTTCTCTTTTCCAGGTTAACAAGGGTACCGCTAGTGCCAGTGAGATATTAGCAGGCGCCTTGAAAGATAACAAACGTGCTCTGGTTTATGGAGAACCAACTTACGGAAAAGGGTAAAGGAAAAGGCGCGATTTTTTTTTCCTTCTTCTTCGCAGAGGCTGAACCTTTGTAATATTTTTAGACTTTAACACATATTGCAGGAAGATACAGTCAGTGTTTGAGCTTTCTGATGGTTCGGGCTTGGCAGTAACAGTTGCTCGATATGAAACACCAGCTCATACAGATATAGACAAGGTCTGAAACTACTTTCTTCCACATATAATGATGTAGAATAGTGACCCCCTCTGTGTCTACACTACACTACACTACACTACATACAAACATCTTACAGTTCTTTTTCTACATGTTGATGGTTGTTGAATAGGTCGGTGTTACTCCTGATCATCCATTGCCAAAGTCATTTCCAAAAGATGAAGAGGCGTTCTGTGGATGCCTCAAGGATCCTACAGCTGCTTGTTATCTCAATCAAGGCCTCCTGTTTTCTAGATGATTATGATTGGTTCAAACGTTGTTCTTGGTATCATATATGTGAAATTCATTGACTCAACCATTGCATTCTTTGAAGATTCACATAGCTTCATGGTTAACTAATGGAAATCAGGATTTTCACTTTTAAAAATACAAAAACAGAGGATTTTTCTGTCGTCATTCAATCTGGTACTCCAACAAAATGTATCACACAGAGAAAGCAACAGCACTTTCTTACAGAATCAACACTCAGACAAGTTCAAATCGAACTGATACCAAAAGCAAACCAAACTAATCTATATACTCGATAGGAGATAAAAGACCAATTGTAGGAACAAAAAGAGCCATGAAGTGACAACATGCGCTTGTCCATGCTTTAGTGAGTTGTGAAAAATCAAACCGCGAGCACTATAATGACAATCAGGAGCACGATACCAAAAATTACCAAGAGCAAGCAAGTCTGCATGAAAGAAGAAAGAAGAAAGAAGAAGTTAATAGCTTGGTTTGATTATCCAAAAACCCATTAATGGTATATAATCAAAAGTTTGAAATATTTTACCAGAGAAGAATTTGACCGTTGTGTCTTGGAGGCTGTAACGAGATGGGATCTTCCTTGGGCAGTTGCAGCATGGGAGTTATCGAAATGAGTATCGACATTATCTACGAAAAGAAGGTGTTAGATTGAGGATATGAAGACATAGGTACGCGTTTTAGTATGACAGGATTTAGAACCAGTTTTACCGATCATGATGCCTTGATCGTTTACCAACACTGCCAAGTCTTTGAAAATTTCGTGCACGTCGCCAATACGCTGCTGGATTTCTTGAATCCCTTGCTCTCTTTCCTCAATAATAGCCTCATTAAACGCAATCTCATTGTCCAGTAGTACAAGTTCTTGTCTGCAACAAGAGCAACAAACAAATTAATAGATGAGTCTATTAATCCGAATAAAGATGGAGACTTTTGTCTATATAAACTGACCTTTTTGATTCCACAAGAAGCGCACGCTGCTCAGGATGCTCATCTACATTAACATCTGTCTCACTGGTTGTATAGCTATATTACCAAAGCCATTATCAGTATCTAACACCACAAAATAAACATAAAACCATTTCCAATTTTTTCAACGAGTATTAACCTTGAAGGAAGAGATGGCTTGTGGACAAGAGGAGCATATACAGTTTCTCTTTCAGCTGCGAGACGCTGAGCCTTTAGAAACTCTTTCAATATATCTTGAAAGTCCTTTGCAAGCTTAGCATCCACAATCTTCTTCTTTTGCTAACCCACCAATATATAAACCAAACCATCAAATTCCTATTAAACTAAGAAACTGAAAGAAGAACAAGAACCTTTCTCTATCAAAAATCACTCACATTGACACCTCTCTGATGATCAGTTTCACTAGCTTCTTTAAGTTTAGCTGATGTATCATTCACTAGCTGTCCGAGAAGTAATCTTGTCTTATGCCTAAAACACACAAATCAAAACCAAGCAAATGAAACATTTACAACCATCAAAATTAGAAAAACAAAATTCATTTGAAGAACCCTAAACTCAAAAAAAAAAAAGGAGCAAACTTTTGAGACTTACAGCTTCTCACGAAACTCCGGCGTGTCTTTAGGAGTACCAAGTGTGTTGACAAGACGTTGGAAAGAAGAGACGCTTGTAGTGATCTGAAATATCCCAGCCGCAACAGCTTGAGTCGTATCTTGTCGACCACCATTGATGTTGTTCCTTGAAGAAGCTAATGATCTTCCTCTTCCCGCCTCTAAATCTTGAAAACTCATTCTCTCTCTCTCTCTCTTTCTCGATAAACCCACCACTAAATTATCCTCCTTTTTATTTTATTTCCCTAAGAAAAGAAAAAAAAGAAAATTCAAAATTCGATTTTTCAGTCACAATAACGGAGATCGATGACGGAGGAGAGAGAGGACGTGACAGTGATTTTCAGATTCACCGGTGGGTTCTCTCTTCTCTCTCTCTCTCTCTCCCCGGGAAAGACTGAGAAAAACGTGAATCGCGGAGAGAGAGATTGAGAGAAACGTGAAATGTCACATTACCTGGATGATGAAGGGAAAAAAGCAGGTACCTTTTTATTCATTTTCTACCCTTACTTTTTCCATAATATTCTAAAAGTGACTCCATAGTTTAGAATCTTAACCGTACATCCACTAAATGACAACAAATGTCAAAAATTGTGAATGTGTTACACGTGGATGGTAGACATTGGTGGAGAAAGTGATATTGTCAGTTTGTCACGACGTTGGTTGATTTTAAACCAAATAATGGAGTTTCGGATTAATTAGAAACAGATTTAGGATTATGATTAATATTAATATAAATTAGTGCGAACTCCAAAATAATTAATAGAAATCTCTAAATAATCACTTTACGTGAATAAAAAGAGTCAAAAAGTAGCAAAACATTTAAATATGACTAAATTGTTTACTTTTTTTTTCTAAATTATCCACGTCGTTGAGCGAATCTAAATATTTTACTGAAAAATTAAATAATAATAGAATGCAGATTCTGGGGATACTCTTATAAATATTTGAATCATGGCACGTGAGAAGAGTCCGACCATATCACGTGACAAACGCGAATAAGTCTCTCGTTTTTTCAAGGCGTTTTTAAAGGGGTCCAATTTTTTTCTTCGTTTTATTTTTCACTCTTGACATCAAATCCGCGACCATAGATTTTTCTTCTTTCTCTAGTTCTTGATTTTTCTTATTTTACTTTGCGTTTCAAATTTTTTTTCAGTTTCAATTCGCGTCAAAGCTATTTCTCGTCATGTCGGTGAGTTCATCTGATCCATTTGTTCTCAGCACTTTTTTGTTTTTTTTTTTATTTATTTTGGATTTATCCTGAGAAAGGTGCGATGTTTGTGATTGAGGAATATGTGAATATAGATCTGTTGATTTTGATTGTTATGCTTTAATATTTGTGCTAAAATGGCGAAGGATTTGTTTTTATTCAATTTTATAGGATTTTGAAGTTTTCCAGTTTTTGATTTAGGTGAAATATCACTGTTTCTCGAAGGTGATGAATTGTTTTGTTTTTAGGGCAGATTCAGAGACCTATTTTGAGGTTTTTCTTTTGTAATATGTAATGTCTGATCTGTATACGCATATTATTAATTTTAGTTTGAGACAAAGATTAGCTTTTTCCAAGATTTTGATATTAGTCTTTTGCAATTTGAGGTTCTTTTCTTATCTTCTTGTGTTGATAATACATTGTCTTTTGTGTTTCTGATCATTGTATTCGTGGTTGAATGTTTATAATGAATTCAGTCAGTTTGGTTATTTCAAGAATGTGTGAGTGTAATCTTTTGATAAGGAATCATCAAAATTGTATTGGTGATTGAATGTTTTTATGAAGATGTTATTTATTTAGCTGTTGAAGATAATATTTAAGAAAGCTAGTGTATTTTAAGTTTCTCTAACGAGATTGTATTTGTCTCTTGCAGATGACAAGTGTCAAAGTTAGCAATGTTTCTCTTGGAGCAACCGACCGAGACCTCAAGGAGTTCTTTTCCTTTTCTGGTGATATTCTGTACCTTGAGACACAGAGGTTCGGTTTGGTTTCCCTCTCTTATGTTCCTTTCTATTTGGAAAGTTTTAGATTAGAGCTTTTTACTTCTTCAGGTTCTTAAATCTTTTTTACAATGTTTGTACAGCGAGACTGAGCGGACTAAACTGGCATATGTCACTTTCAAGGATCTACAAGGAGCTGAAACTGCGGTTCTGCTCTCGGTATTTTCACTTCTCAGCTTGTTGTACCAGTTCTTCTTTGTGTTAGTAAGTAACTTCCTTTGAGTGACTGAGTAATTTGTGCAATTCTTTCAGGGAGCCACGATTGTTGATTCTTCAGTCATTGTCACTATGGCTCCGGATTACCAACTATCTCCTGAGGCTTTAGCTTCCTTGGTAAGCTCTTAATTCATCATCTCTTGTGATATTTTTGTCACAAGTAAAACTCTTTAACATTTCATATTTACCCAGGAACCCAAGGACAGCAGCAGATCTCCCAGGGCAGGTGGCTCCGTGTTAAGGAAAGCTGAAGATGTTGTGAGCAGCATGCTTGCAAAGGGCTTTATACTGGGAAAGGATGCCATAGCCAAAGCAAAGAGTGTTGATGAGAAACACCAGCTAACATCTACAGCATCAGCCAAAGTGGCATCTTTTGACAAAAAAATCGGTTTCACGGATAAGATTAACACTGGCACAGTCGTTGTGGGAGAAAAGGTCAGGGAAGTTGATCAGAAGTACCAAGTCTCGGAGAAAACCAAATCAGCAATCGCTGCAGCAGAGCAGACAGTGAGCAATGCAGGCTCAGCTATAATGAAGAACCGGTATATTCTCACAGGTGCTACATGGGTCACTGGAGCCTTCAACAAAGTGGCTAAAGCTGCAGAAGAAGTTGGACAAAAGGCTAAAGAGAAAGTTGGTATGGCTGAAGAAGAGGACAAGAGGAAAGTGGTTGATGAGTTTGCTAGGGTTCACTTGTCTGAATCACCAAAGGCTGCATCATCAACGCCGGAAGCCGAACATGAATCAAAACCCTCTGAATCTCCTGAAGTAAAGAAAGAATCCGAACATCCCGAGCCACAACCGCAGCCGCTGCAGCAACAATCTCCTCCTCCATATACGGCTCCTGCTCCAGCTCCAGCTCCAGCTCCTGCTCAACCTTGATATATGCAGACAAGTAAAGACCTATATGATTATTGTTGTAACCGGTAATACTTGGAACTGATCTCTCTTGAATTGTTGAAGATGAAGATTGAACTTGTTATTTAGGACAACGACTTGGTGTTCCTGTAACATTGGATTCATGGTTGGTTTGGTAATTAGACCTGGAAAAAAAAACAATTTTGTCCTTGTTTTCTTGAAATTTCTCCATTCTGCAAAATTGATGAAAAAGCAAGGTTGAGTAATATTCTTTCAGTTACCAAAATTGAATACTGAATACCAAAATTGAAAATAATAATATTCCATTGTCAACATATAATATTGTTCCAGTCATCTAATTACATATGTGGGTTTGCCAGGAATTTTAAATATACTTTTGTATAAAAGCTATGAAATCAAATATATATTGTTCTTTTTTGGTGAATATCAGATTAATATTATCTGGACTTTGATTCTTTTCCCCTAAATATATGATCAAAGCATAATAAATTTAGATTGAAGTATTAGTTGAAAGAAAATTGTACTTATTAATTATCCCTTACCAAAAAAAATTGTACTTATTATCTTTCACAAGCATAAACTATAATGTAAGAAAATCTTGACTAATTTATTACCAAGCTTATGTAAAGTGCAAATAGGTGTTCAAATATTTGTTACCAAACTTATATACGTATATTAAAATCATGACCGTAGGTGTTCAAACAATATTAAAATCATTACAAGAAGAAAAAGATATATAAACACAACAAAAAAAATGGAGAAAACAGCTTTGATATTCATTGGGATTGTACTTTTCTCAACATGTAAGCTCACAACAAGTTTTGATTTTCAATTATAGTTAATCCTCATCATGAGTATACTGTATGTAACAAAGTATATGATTTTTTACAGGTACACCGATTCAAGCAAGAACTGGATATCTACCTTGCAAGAAGAAAGCTAATTGTGTTAGCCTCAAATGCCCAACACCATTCGGTTCCGCTGAATGTGTGAAAGGTGGTTGTGAATGTCCCCTTCAAAGAATCGTTGCTGCGGCTTTACCAATTGATCATGGTACCAATTGTGTTGGTGTCGATTCTTGCATTCAATTTTGCAAGGCAAAAGGTAAACAAGCTGATGCTTGTCTCAATAACCGTTGTTACTGTATCAAACCTCCCATGTAAATTTTATTTAACGGATAAAAGTCTTTCGAGTATCAAATATTTGTTACTATCCTTTAAATATATATTGATATCGATATCAATCATACAATATTGTTACAATAATATAATTAAATTCTACATTTGACTTAAACCTAGGCCGAGTTGGTATGGATTTTTTTCATTTAATTTTTAGATTCATTCGTTTCATTTTAAATTTGATATCTCATCAATCAATATAATAAAAGTAAGAGAAGTTTATTCTCAACGAAGATTCACGATTAAATTAGAATAATAACTAAAATTGACAATTTATTTCAACACGTGTTGTCAAGTTTATGGCCTTTATGACATTTTTTTGTAGACCAAAAATATTGAGAACGAATATTTTTGAACCTCACATTTACTTCTTTCTATAGCCTAATATATTTTTTAAACATAAGGAAATTAAATTAATATATTTTTTAAAAAAAAATCATTAAACAAACCGATTGCAAGGCCAAACGGTCCAACATGACCACCGACCCAGATTCCAAAAAAAATGATCAGATAAAATTAATATTGTTTGTACTTTGATTTTTTCCCCCTAAATATAATGATAAGCATAATAAAATTAGATTGAGATTGAATGTCTGATATAGATTGAATGCCACATTTACAATTGCATAAGTTGAAAGATTTGTGGTTTGAATTAAGGGATGCGTTTCACTCATTGAATGAAACCCAATATTTTTTTCTCTATTTTTTCTCTCTATCTTTTTCCTTCTACAAAATTAGAAAATCACCTAAAGTTAACAGTAAAATTTCACAGAATCATCAATCGATTTTTTTTATTATTATAAATATTCTAAAGAATCACTCAAATCTCTCAAAATCCAAAAATTTAACACAGAAAATATTTGCATCTTAAACATTTTACCAAACTTGTTTAAAGTGCAAAGTATATATACCTCCTAGGTGTGCAAAACAATACTAAAATCATTACAAACAAAAAAAAGCTATAAACATCAAAGAAAATGGAGAAATCAACTCTAATATTCATTGCGATTATACTTTTTTCAACATGTGAGTATACATCGAGTTTTAATTTTCAATTATATATTAATCATTATCATTAGACTCATATATATGAATAATATGATTTTTTACAGGTACACCGATTCTAGCAAGATCATATATGCCTTGCAAGAAGAATGAAGATTGCTTTAAACTCAAATGTCCAGCACCATATGGTGGCCCTCAGTGTATTGTCCTTGGTTGTCAATGCCCCCTTACAAAACCACTTATTTGTAAGGATCTCGATGATTGCACTGAATATTGCAGGTCAAGAGGTCAAGACGTCGATAACTGTTCTGAGGGCTTTTGTTACTGTCTCATACCTCCCATGTAGTTTTTTTTATACCACGGATACATCTTTCAAATATTGAATAATTTTATTACTATCCTTTAAATTATATATCGATCATATCATATTGTTACAATAATAATATTAAATATGTTGGACATTTGACTTAAACCTAAGCTCTACTTTGGCTTTCACTTTATTTTCAGATTCATTCTTCATTTTTTTCATTCTTGATATCTCATTTTGATAAACAGAATATAATCTTACAAAATACAAATACGTATGCATGCATGCTGACGGTAGTACCAAGTTCGGACATTGGTCCTAAGAGCATGATTATCAAGGGGCTTTTAACAAAATATTAAGTTAAGAAAAATAAAAAAAAACTAAGAAAAGTGACTAAATATCTCTAATACAAGAGACATAAACTAACTTTTCTTACCTTTTCTTAACTTTTTTTAGCTTAAAATTTATTTTAAAATCCCTTGTTAATGATGGTCTAAGGTCCTTTTGTGTAATACTAATATACGCGGATTTGAGAAAAGCGTAAGGCCATCTTTATCGCAGTATGTCCATGGGTCTTAGACCAATAAATAAAGGCTGAAATATGCAAACAGTAAATTTGTAAGAGGTAAACGGGTCTTGGCTAAGACTTTTTTTAGAGAGGTTAATACCGCCATGTGTCAAATGATGAGTGGCTATATTTTTTTTTGAAATAAAAACATTTTTCTTTTGTTGGAGAAAAGAAAGAAAATTTGTTTTTTTTTTATCAATCTTGCGAATAGGTAGCTAATCTCCTCCTTTTAAAATACTCTTTTCTGTTGTAATAATTTTATGTTTGTTGGATTCAATTTCTTTTCATGTAATTTACAGTGACAGTAATTTAAGGAAAAGTAAATCAAATGTTGATTGTTTTGATCTTGAGGATGTGGACCTTTTAGTAACATTAGACTGATTTACTCATTTCTAAAAACCTTTTGAATAATCTAAAATCATGCAAATTGCTTTTCAAAAACACTTGAGATACATGTTCGAATCAATTTTATGTTTTTTTATATAAGTTTTCAAGTTAAAATTTATTTATTTAATTTTAAAATTTTATAATATGTTTTATATTATTATATTATTTAATTTTAAGATTCTAAAGGTTCAACCAATAATCAATTCTAAATTTATGCTTCTTATTTGATTGAGAATATTTGGACTAAATTTGGACATCTTCCAAATGATTAAAAAGGTTTATAAACTTTTTTCATTTAATAATATGTTTTGTGTTTCATTTTTATGTTTGTATTTTTTAAAGTTTATGTTTTAAATTTATATCTTTCTACTTTTATGTTTATAATTTTTGTCTTTATTGTTTTTTATTTGTTATTATTTGTTTTATAAAGTTTGTTTGTGTTTTGCTTAAAACATTTATAAAGTTTGTTATGTTTTGTTTATAATTATATGTTTCTATCTTTATTATTCTAATTTATAAGTTTATATAATTTTCCATTTTTTAAATTTTCAAATTAATTAATAAATATATTATTATTATATTATTATAAATGTAAGAACCTACAGGTTCAACCAATAACTATTTAATTTTGCTTGGTTTTTAAAATACATTGACTTTGTGTATCCTCTGGCAAAGATTTTTTTGATGTGACTCCCTTCTGTTTTCTCTGCTTCCTTCGAGGATTTTTTTATGCGACTCTCTTGTTCATCTTGGTGATATGACAAGCTTTTTTGTCCATCTGTATTTCGTTAAACAGAAACGATCGCTGTTTACACTTTTATCTTTTCATCTCTTCAGTTTCTCTCTTAAGCCAAAACAAGATAAAAGAAAAAAATGAGAATGAAGCAACGAAAGTCAAAAGAGATAAACCCTTGAGAACTCTCATCACTCTTCTTTGCGATTTCGTCTGACCTTTTATTGGTGAAAATGGAAACGAAAGTCAAAAGAGAAACGTTTGGAGATTATCAAGTGATGAAACAAGACGAAGAAGAAAGACATGTGGTTTTCAGTTCCGACAACGTTTCCCGTTCAACCTCTTCGTCTCCGACAGCAACTTTTTTTGTTGTTGTTGTGTTTGGTGGGTTTTAGTAAGAAGAAGAGTTTTGAAGATGATGTTTCTGTTTACTAATTAATATCTTCTTGCGAGAGAAACTTCTTCTTGATTGAATGCATCAGAGGTATAAAGTCCGAAAACAAGTGACTGCTGCGTCACGGGCTCCAAATGCTACCGCTGTTGCAGAGATCGCACCGGTTTCACCCATGATCACCATATTGCTAAGAAGATACACTATTGATGTAAAGTCATTGACACAAACAGTCAGTCTTAAATCATAAACACCCAAACACGACATCTGCTTTGCAAGAGTACCCGTGGATGATGACTGGAACAGGAAACCCACCATCAGCCAAGCCATGGATGTTAAGAGACCGCTCGATGTTGCATCACTTGAAGGATATAGAGCTTTATGGAGGAATCTACGTTCAGGTCTTGTAAGAGATTGTCTTTACCGAGGAGTGTTCTTTTCAATATGGCAGTTTCTTCACGACGGAATGCTCTGTTGGAATGAATCCCCTGCCCAGCTCTGAAGAAGAAATCGGACCTTTATCTCCGGAAGCCGTTAGCCTTGCTGCTGGGATTTCTGGTGCCATTCTCATACCTTTGACACAGCAAGAACACGGGCGCAGTGTGTAATATTGCCAAAGTATACAGCAAAAGAGAGCAAGTTTCTGAAATGGAATAAACCTGAGAAGAGATTAGAGAGATGGACAGGAATACATCCTACAGACAGGAACCTCCTGTTCCGAGGAATTGGGATATGGATGGCACGAAGCTCTGTTGCATCAACGGCCTTCGTTGGAAGCTATTACGTAGCTGTCGATTTATTGGTTCCCAAGTGAAGTCAGACATCACAGAGCCTACGAATTTGTCTCGAGTTTGATCATATATAATAAACAATACCTCAAAAGCGTTTAGCCCACATTTTGTAGTACAATTAAGGAGAAAATTTTGTATGCTTTTGCTTCAATTATACTATCTTAGATTTGTATCTGTCTGTAGTTTTATTTACAGAATAAATTTGGTTCTAATAAGCATAATTCTCTTGCCGGGCTTAACAGATGAAACACATTTGCTGAATCTATTGACAGAACCTTTTCAATTGGTCGATGACAATAGCTCAAAAAATCTGGACAAACTTTGTAGTTCATAATGTGATCATTTACTAACCGAGATGATGAACATTCTTGCAAGTGAAAAAAAAATAAAAAAGAATGATCATAGCATGATGAGCATGATAAAATAAAGTCTGCGGGATGATGAGCATGATCGAAAGCGGGTCGGGTGTGTCAACCGGGTCGGGTCATAACCTGTTTGAGGATACTGCAATCGAACAAGAGCCTCCTCCGGCTAAAAAGAGAAGTTACCATAGACACACTCTTCATCATATTCAACAAATGGAAGCATACGTCTTCTTTCCCGTTCTATTTTACCAACTTACCATTTCAGAATGAGATCATATTTACTACTGTTTAATTAGTTGGTGTTTATTGTACAGACTGTTCGATATTTTTCCTGCAAATAACAAGTCTTTTAAAAATTCACTCAAATATCTCAAAAATCCAAAATACTCAAAATTCACGAAATCTTCTAAAATATCAAGAAAAACTTGACTAATTTGACACCGAAAATATTTACTAATTAAATATATTACCATACTTGTTTAACGTGCAAAAAAAAAAACCAAAACAGAAAATATATATGTACCCTCGTCAGTATATAAACTCATCGTATGTGTGCTAACAATACTAAAATCATTACAAGAAAGAAAAGCAAAAGATATATTATAAACACAAAAAAAAATGGAGAAATCAGCTTTGATATTCATTGCGCTTATTTTTTTTTCAACATGTGAGTTTACCGCAAGTTTTATTTTTCAGTTATATATTAATCCGCAACATAAGTATATGTATTAACAATTATATGATTTTTTTTATAGGCACACCGATTCTAGCAAGATCATATATGCCTTGCAAGACAAATCGTGATTGCTTTAAACTCAAATGTCCACCACCAGGTTCTCAGTGTGTGGTCTTGGGTTGTCAATGCTCCCTTCGAAAACCACTTATTTGTAATGATATCGATGATTGCGTTGAATATTGCAAGTCAAGAGGTAAAGAAGTCGATGCTTGTGCCAATACCCGTTGTTACTGTCTCATACCTCCCATATAATTTTATATCACTATCTTTTGATTATATCTCGACCAAATCATATTGTCATATTGTTTGGCTTTCACTTTATTTTCATATTTATTCTTCATTTGTTTCGTTCTTAATCTTTTGGTAAAACAATATAATCTTATAAAATACAAATACGTATGCATACATGTAGTACTGTAGTACCAAGTTCGGGACCTTGGTCCTTCCTTAAGACATGTGCATTCCTGGGACCGGTTTAGGTCCCAAATTTTTTTTTTCTTCTTTTTTTTTCTTTTTACAGAAATTAAAAAAAAAAAAAAAACCAATCGCAGACTGACACGTGTCAGTGGGACCCGCGAATGGAGGAGGGACGGTCTCGTTTAAAAAAACGATCCACATAAAATTTTTGTTTTTTTTTTTTGTTTTTTTTGCTAAAAAAGCTGGGAGACTGATCATGAGACCTGCAATGCCGATGGTCTAATATACACGGACTTGAGAAACGCGTAAGAAATAAAGTTTGACTAAAAAACCAAGAATTTTGACTTTGTGTATCGTCTGGCAAAGATTTTTTGATGTGACTCTCTTCTCTTTCTCTGCTTCCTTCGAGGATTAAAAAAGTGAAAGAGTGTTTGACAAGCTTTTTTGTCCATCGGTATTCCGTTAAATATATCGCCGTTAAACAGAAACGGACGCCGTTTTCACTTTTTGTTACCTCTTCAGTTTCTTTCTTAAGCCAAAAAAACAATATAAGTAAAAAATGAGAATGAAGCAAAAGATAACCCTTGAGAGCTCTCTCACTCTTCTTTGTGATTTCCTCTGATTATATATATTTTTTTTGTGAAAATGGAAACGAAAGACAAAAGAGAAACGTACGGAGATTATCAAGTGATGAAACAAGGCGAAGAAGAAAGACATGCGTTTTTTAATTCCGACAACGTTTTCGGTTCAAACTCTTCGTCTCCGACAGCAACAATCCTAAACCCTAATCTCAAGTTTAACCCTTTCTACAGCCCTAATTTCCCTTACATGATCCCGGTTCGTGTTCGCTTAGTTTTCCAACCTAAACCCTTGTAACTTTTTCTACTTATTTTAATTAGAAAGTTGATAACTTTTTTTTTTTTTTTGTGTTTGGTGGGTTTTAGAAAGAAGAAGAGTGCGGGATGATGAGCATGATCGGAAGCGGGTCGGGTGTGTCAACCGGGTCGGGTCATAACCTATTTGAGGGTACTGCAATCGAACAAGAGCCACCTCCTGCTAAGAAGAGACGTTACCGGCATAGACACAATCTTCATCAGATTCAACAAATGGAAGCGTACGTCTTCTTTCCCGTTCTATTCTACCAAGTTACCATTTCAGACGATGTTATATGAATTGGTCTTTTATTGTATTAGATTGTTCGAAGAAAATCCTCATCCGAGTGAGGAGAAGAGATTAAATTTAAGCAAAGAACTTGGTCTCACGCCTCAACAAGTCAAGTTTTGGTTTCAAAATAAACGTACTCAACTCAAGGTAAATTAATCACTCTTTAAATATCACTTGGTTTAATTTGATTTTAAACAAGGTTAATTTGACCATATAAACCGGTTTAATAAATATCGGGGTTAAGAAAATCTGGCTCTGACCATTCATGTTAAATGCTGCTAAATTGCTAATACTGAGATTAACAGGCACACCAAGACAGAAGATATCATGTAATGCTAAAAGCAGAGAACGCTACTCTTAAAGTAGAGAGTCAAAATCTTCAGTCCAGTTCACTATGCCTCTCTTGCTCTTCTTGTGGCTACAACCTCCGTCTTGAAAACATTCGCCTCCGCCAAGAGGTATATATATATTTGAAAGAAGTGATGATCTTGACATTTGATGTTTATCTACTATATCAAACTGTTATTATATGTTGCAGCTGGATCGGTTACGCCACATTGTTTCTATGAGGAACCCTCCTCCTTCACAAGATATTGCCTGTTTCTTCCCGGAGACTAACAACGACAACAACAAAAACATGTTGATTGCAGAAGAAGAAAAGGCGATTGCAATGGAACTTGCGGTTTCTTGCGCTCAAGAATTAGTAAAGATGTGTGAAACAAATGAGCCCTTGTGGACTCAGAAGAGATTAGATGATGAGAATGGGTGTCTGAATGAAGAAGAGTATAAGAAGATGTTCTTATGGCCTCCAAAGACTGATGATGATCGTTTTCGCAGAGAAGCTTCAAGGGCTAAAGCAGTTGTCATGATGAACAGCATATCCCTCGTCCAAGCATTTCTTGATGCTGTAAGAATAAGTCAAACACACATTTCTTTGTATACATCTTTCTTTTAAACTCACATTTAACATATCCCTGTTACAATTCTGCTTCAAGGATAAATGGTCTGAACTGTTCTGCTCAATAGTGTCAAGCGCTAAAACGATTCAGGTCATTTCTTCTGGAGTTTCTGGGGCAAGTGGTTCTCTTCTTTTGGTGAGTAATTTCAATGTTACTAGGCATAGAGTGATCAAATAAGTTCATCTATAAGGTAGTGAAGTATTTGTCTTCTTTTCTAAACAGATGTATGCAGGGTTACAAGTAGTATCTCCATTAGTACCAACAAGAGAAGCTTACTTTCTTCGATATGTAGAGCAAAAGGCGGAAGAAAGAAAATGGATGATTGTGGATTTCCCGATCGATAGCTTTCATGGTTTCATCAAACCAGCTTCAACTGCTACTACTACTGATCTATACAGGAGAAAACCTTCGGGTTGCATCATTCAAGAAATGCCTAATGGATACTCTGAGGTGACATGGTTAGAACACGTGGAAGTAGAAGAGAAGCACGTGCTGGGCGAGGTTGTTAGAGAGTATGTGAAGAGCGGTGTAGCCTTTGGCGTTGAACGGTGGCTAGCTGTGTTGAAGAGACAGTGTGAAAGAATGGCTAGTCTCATGGCTACAAACATCACTGACCTTGGAGGTATATATCTTGTTTCACAAGTAAACCTCAAACTTCCACAACCAATGTGATTTGTTATCCATCTGCCCTGTGTGTTTTCTTCAGTGATACCTTCTGTAGAAGCGAGGAGGAACTTGATAAAGCTGTCACAGACAATGGTGAAGACTTTTTGTCTGAACATAAGCAATTCATACGGACAAGGATCAACAAAGGACACTCTGAGAATCTTGACCAGGAAAGTTTGTGGTGGTCTTGTTCCTTGTGCCGTGTCAGTCACGTATCTTCCTTATTCTCATCACAAAGTCTTTGATCTTCTCCGCAACAATCAACGTCTTTCTCAGGTAAGGAAGTAAAAACCAGAATCTTCGTCCTCTGTTCTTTTGATCCACAAAGACTCTGATATCGAAATTTGAGAATATTCTTACTGCTAAAGCTGGAGATCTTGTTCAATGGGAGTTCATTTCAAGAAGTTGCTCATATCGCAAATGGATCACATCCTGGAAATTGCATCTCTCTTCTTCGAATCAATGTTAGTGAAGTTCAAAACTTTTGAAAATCCCAGCTAAAATTTCTAATGTTTAATGCAAAAGTTGGGTTCTTGAATTACACAGGTGGAGAGCAATTCATCGCATAACGTAGAGTTGATGCTTCAAGAAACTTGCACCGATAGCTCCGGCAGTCTCCTGGTGTATTCCACCGTCGATGCCGACGCAGTTCAACTCGCTATGAACGGCGAGGATCCTTCTAAAGTTCCCCTTTTGCCTGTTGGATTCTCTATTGTTCCAGTGAATCCATCCGATGGCGTCGAGGGCATTTCTGTCAACTTGCCTTCGTGCTTACTCACCGTTGCGATACAGGTCTTGGGGAGCAACGCCGTCGCCGCCGAAAGACTCGATCTTTCCACCGTCTCCGCCATCAACAACCGTATTTGCGCCACTGTCAACCGTATCACTTCCGCGCTCGTGAACGATGTCGGTAATTAGGAGAAGGTTTGGAGGGTGTTTCGGTAAATATTTCGCAGCTAAAAAACTTGATTAGGTAAATTTTGTCGACGAGGGTATAAGTAAATCCGATCCGGTATATAGGTAAAAACAGTAATTTACCACTTAAGTTTTTTTGGGGGAGTCAAGAACGAACCAAGGCATGATGACATTTTTTGGTTGAACCGGGTTTTATCCGGTTAAGAAAATTCTTGACTGGTTCGGGTATTGACTTCCAAACTTCGATTTATGAAAACCGTTTGGTATTTTTGTTGCAAGGTTAATGCTACTTATATTTTCTACTTAATGGCTTTTCATAATGAATCCTTGTAAAATGATCTTAAAATTATGGTAAAGCTTTGTTTTAAGATGCCTAGTCACAGCTTAAACCTCTAGAAAATATGCTGACCTTGGAACTCAAAAATGAGGTTAGACATTGTGCAAAGGTTCTTCTTTTACTATTAGCTATACGACCACGAGGCTTGTGAGCATGAACCTTACGATCCTGTCGGCTTATTCGGGTGGGACGTGATAACGTGTACTTAAACGAAGAAAAATGCATTTCTGGTCCGAGTCTCTCCACTTGGCGGCTCAACGTTTTCCTTAGTTTCTACCGCTACATTCATAATATTCAATATGGATACATCAGTCAGTCACAGTATGCATTATGCATAATCCCATATGAGATTCACTCGTAGCAATCAGCAACCTTACTCGGTTACACTCTGATATAATGTGCCAAGACTTTAAACGAGAAAATAGGACTATGATGAATGGGGTGCGAGAGAACTTGTGACTAGAGAGAGATATTGTGAGTCCAATAATTTTTTTTTGGGGTTGTAATATTCATGAATTTGGTTCTACTAATCTAAGAATAATTAGTAAATCTTAATATGGTTTGAGTTATTTGTTCGTTCACACACAACCTAAAAGTAGATTATTAAAATAATTTAACAAAAGATTATTCATAATGTTTTTTAAAAAAAGACACAACCAAAAAAGTCGATGATTATAATGTCTTATTCGCTTAAAGATTTGCAAAAGTAAACAGTCTTATTCTCAATACTCCACTCGCACCAAAACCAAGAAGTAACTCTCTTATATAATGCATTTCCTTAAACTTTGTCTTTATACCGATTTTAAGTTGTTTTACTAACAAAGAATGCACAAATTTTTAATACAACCAACAATGAAAGTGGTAGGTCATTTAATTTAATCCAATTCCTTACATTATTTATAATATTTGCTGGAATAGTATGTGAACGTTATTTAATAGTACTGTGACATATTTTATTTATTTTAAAAGCGTATATACCTTCCCACAGCATTTAGATGCGTAATATTACAACTCACCAAACGAATTTAACAATCCAAAAGGCAATGGCACGAATAAAAAGCTAGAAAGAGTTTTGTATCTTGTAATTTCCCTTTTATTAAACGACACACGTATAACCCCAGCTAAGGGAGAAACATTTTCCCTCCTTTTAGATTTTGATTTATTCTTTGAAAAAAAGAATAGTTAAGTTTCCGAGTTAAAGCTTGCAAGCAACTCTTTTGTCCGAATATAAATGTGGGTTCTTATCAAAATCAACAAAGTTTCATTAGATTTGTTTAAAAATCTCCCAAAAAAGATTCGTGGGGGCAATTATTCTAACAAGCTCCAAATCTTTTTTTCCTCTACTCCTTTATAAAAGATTCAGTGTGCTTCCTACTTTTTTTCATTTCAATCAAATCTTTTTTTTGTTTGTACTTCTTTTCTTTTCACATTTTGATGGATATTAAGTGGGGTGTAATGTATGATTGAAGTGGGAATGAATACTTGATGTGAGATTTAGACACTATCGGATTGATAGTTTTTTTTAACAAATATTTGATTGAAATGAATAATTTGGTTAAAAAACCAGATGCATATCTTCGTGTCATCTGTATTTTACATTATTTGATTATTCGTTTTGTGTGTTCCAATTTCGTTTCCTATTTAGTATAAAACATGACGTGATATCTATATAGAGTTGGACCAAAAATTTTGTATAGGACCAATACATAGATATCTAAACAAACTTTTGTGGCCTTAAAAGGTCTTACAATTTTACACTAAGTGAACTGAAGTGGACAGCATGTTTTTTTCACTCTTACGAACATCCCCGTGTCGGAGTAACTTACTCAAATTGATGTGAACCTTTGTTTTCTAATATTTGATATCCCTCCGGCTCCTAGCCTTTATTTTTCAATAGTTTCTATATATGTTATTTATCTATATAATCTGACCACTCAGAACTTATCATGATTAGTGTCTTGTTAGTATGTGACGATTGAGAAGGCTTTGGTTGGTTACTAGTTTACTACAAAACTCAAGTACTAGTGAATCGTGATGATAGATATAGTTCAAGTCTCAATAATCTTCTAACTTTGTCTTATGCATCCTCGTCGGTTGGTAGTGCTTCCAATCAACTAATTAAATAAAAATTTAAAATCTTTTTAGAATTTTTCTTATCTATAAAATTCTTTTTTCCGTTTGTCTTATGTATCGTGGCATGCTGGAACTAAACTGGAAGAATCAACTTTTACGGAAACCTATTTTTGGATTCAGAATAAATCTTAGTTTAATCATCAAATATGTGTATATAAAAAGTAAAATACAAAATCAAATGAATCATAAGGATCGTCCCCAACATTATCTGTCGATGTATGGGCTTAGGGGACATGAATTATCAAAGGGCATTTTTGGGAATCATCTCTTGGACTGGCCATCGGTGGCAATAGGGCCAAAAATTAAATTAATGTCGTATAGTTTTTGATGAAATGGAGTTAATGCTTTTTTGGAATATATATATTTTAAAAAAAAAACTTTCATATTAACTTGCTTTGAAAATTATACTGTATATCTAATCAAGAACACACCTAATACATATGTTTTAAGGTGATATGATTCTTTTCCCATTTCTAAATTTCTTTAAATTTCATCTTCTCACGTAAATAAAGTCATCTACTTCTCCACAAATTTTTTCAGGTATAATAATAAATGCAATATCATATTCAAATTATTCTTAGGCAACCAGCCACCAAAGATCGTAAAGCAAAGAGATGTTCGGTATAATTCCAAACTCCAAACTTCAGAGAAGACAAACAATTAAACCAATAAACAAGACAAACAACAAGTGACGATGAGACTTAAGTTTTTTGTTTTGGTGTCTCTCCATCCATCTCTACAAAAATCCATGCGTAGCTAAAGCTGTTCATTCTTCTTTTTTTCTCTCCAAATATATCATTTGATAATTTTAAATGTTCATGAATCACTCTTATAAAAACACACACACGCATCTTTCAGTTTCAAACCCAAGTGTCATTTTCACATGTAAATCTGAACACAAAATAATCGAATAATTTCCATACATTATTGTTTTATTATATACCATCATTAAATACTGATATGTGATCGATGATATCTACATTGTAACAATAATATGCCATAGAAAAATTTGATTTATTTGCCTTCACATATATATGAAGAAAAAGGAAAAGAAAAAATTAAATGGAAATTCATGTTTCACCCAACCCCTTTTATTATAGACTCTTAAAGTGTCATTTTCTCAAAGGGAACAGAGAAGAAAGAGACTTCTCATTTCTCCTCATACCTTTTGCCATCCCTATTCTTCTCCCTCTCTCTCTCTCTCTCTCTCTCTCTCTCTCTCCCCT